CTCTCTCTCACTCGAGCCATCGGCCCAGCCTAGTGCCGCCTTTACTTAGCTTTTAGCGAAAATTGATCATAAAAATGCATTCGTTTGGTTTCATTTAGGCAGGCGGCTTGCCGTTGGTTGGCTGCATTTTTTTCAGTTTGCAGTTTGCAGTTTGCAGTTTGCAGTTTTGTATCTTACAGTTTGCAGTTGCATTTGCAGTTGTCAGGTTGCCTTCTGCTTGTTTGCTTTATTGCGCCTTTCCACAGCACACACCATACACACACATTAGAGCATACACTCATGGACACACACCTTCTCCAAAGACCACGAATCCGAATCTGAATCCGAATCCGAGACCGAGAGCTCCCAAAGAGCTCCCAGCTCCCAACGTTTGGCGGCGCTTGATCAGTTGCGGTTTTTACTTTCATCGGTACGGTTCGTCGTGGACTAGCTAATAGTGGCTCTATCCCCCCTATTCTGCCTTTAAAAAAAGAAGAAAAATCAATACAAATACAAAATAATATTAAGAAAACACCCGAAAAACGTGCCCCGGCTGTCCAGAAAACAATATTCGGGTTTGCTTTTCTTTACATTGGCTTGGCCACGCTTGACTTGGCTTGACTTGGGGATTGGACTTACATGTTTGCCCATTCAATTGCCACCCCAAAAAATTGTGTTATTTGTTTGCCGATAGAAGATAGAAGATACAAAAGCAAGGGGGTTTCCCCATACCAGTGCCAAAGCAAACCCTTCACTTCAAGCTTCAATGGATTTGCGGGTTCTCTCTCTTCAAGATCTCTATATTGCATAATGTATATGCGAAAAGCAAAGATCATAGTCACACCATCATCGAATTAATACGCGACGCGGAAGTTATATAATCAATGATACCAATAACCCCCCAGCTCCGTCCATCGTCCTCCTAGACATCGGGCATTTTCCAGCCTTGCTTCGGCCACGACCACGACTGGAGCTGGTGCTGGTTGGTGGTCACAACACGTTTAACAAGTTTTTCTCTTTTCGGTTTTCAGGAAATTTTTTCGCAATTTTCCACTGTCTTGTTTTGGTTTTTGTTGTTATTTTTTTGCTTTCTGCAGCAGCCTCAGCCGTCTGCCTAGAAACAAATCATCGAAAGAAAATCGATTCATAAACAAGTGAAAATTACGCGAGGCCAAGTCTAAAGTCCAAGCCAGGCTCAACAGATTTGTTATCGTTGCATTTCAGAGGTTCCCCAAAAGCTTCCATGAAGCTGTAAGCCAGAAAGATCCCCCAGGTGTCTTTGACTGGACCAAATCCAGAGATTGCGACAATGACAACGGGGCAACACAAAGGAGGGAACTGTGCGGGAACACCAATCATAGTCCAAGCACTTGAGACCATGCCAAGCAGAGATTAGACCAAAATAAAGCACCAGAGATTCAATCTAGAATCATAAGCAGCAAAAGAAAACAAAAACAAAAATCCTCAAACCGCCAAAAAAAAAACCCTAGAAAGAACGCCTGAGCCAAGCCAGGAGGAAGAGAGAGTGTCAAAGAAGAAACAGGGGAATATGCAATCCCCAAGGATTGCCGTAGTGGCTGTACTCCTGCTCACCGCCTGCCTACCACTAACAATCTCCAGTGAAAACATAACCAATCCAATAAGAACAAATCAAACAGGAACGGGAACAGGAAAAGTGGAAGCGGAAGCGGAAGCTCTCACCAGTTTACATAGATTTACCAGCAGGGATAATATAACCATCCTGCATGAAGTCCATGAAAATGTCGATGAAGATCAAGAAACAGAGGAACCACCTCTGACTCTCAATACACACGAAATACTGCCGCTTAAACCATTGAAAAAGAAACCCTATTTGCCATTGGAAAAGATTCTACCCAACATTGAGTATGTTAAACCGCATCCACTCAAGGATTATGAACTGCATCCCGTCACCTTTGACTTTAATCTCGGTGATCTTGAGGATCTCGAACATGAGGTTATCAAAAAAGGCGATCTGAGTAGTCAGGAGCAACATGGCAGTAGCCTTAGTCCTGTTGACATCAGTTACAGTCCCTCCGCAAGTCCCGATGAAAACGATACGGTGGATGTGGACATAGCTGAGCTCTCGGAGCCCCATTCCACTGAACCCACCACGGCCACATCACCGGGAACAACGACACCAACAACTAGTTCAACGACAAGCACCACCACCAGTACTCATATCCTTAAAATCCTGCGAAGTAAACCACAATTGGCACCCAAATTAGGTAGAGATTTGCTCAAGCAAAGCGATGATGACATGCAGCTCAAGACTTTGGGCAGTACCATTAATAGCATCAATCGTTATTTGGCCGCAAATGCCACGGGTAATGGTAATGGTAGCAGCATGGCAGAGAGCCTTTATGGCCAGGCCAATTACTTTCAGATTGTGGCCAATCTCTATGATCATTTTTATTGGCAAATCTCGGAGATACGCACTAGTGTTCGTACTGCATGTGCCCTAGAGATGCAGGCGTATCTGACAGCATTGCACTCTAGCAATGAGTGGGCTCAGAAGGGTGAGTCTTCCTTGGTTCCATCTTGTCTCCTTCCCATTTAAATCTCCTTATTTTTTGCAGCCTACGATTCCTCGGGTCGTTATCGGGGTCAGTTGCTCTTTGGCAATGACAAGTGGCTGGGTCAGTTATCCTTTTGCCTGGAGCTCAATCGTCAGGGTTCCAGTGAGGAGCGCAAACATTTTGATTTGGAGTTTTATGTGGCAGATGTGGCTTTGCATTTACCACGACTCAATCGATCGGTAAGTGCCTCTAAAAAAAAATTGTTTCAAAAACAAACTCCATTTCTGAATCTTCCTGCAGATGCTACTAAGTCTGGGCGAGTGTTTGCCCAAATCCTGTTCTGCTCATGATGTCCAATCTATTTTATCCTTGGATCCATATGCTCGCATGCTCACCGTTTTGGGGGCACATAATACCTCGGTGCAGCAACCGCCGCTTCAGGTGTTGCACGTTCGCACTGTCCCGGGACTCTACAGTCACTGGCGTCAGCTTAAGTTTCAGGTGTTCATGTAAGCTTCACATTACATTTACTAATCCATATAATCCCCTTGATTCTTATCAATTTCTTCAACATTTGCAGTAGCTTTATGCTCACTTTGTTGCTGGTGGTATTGGTGGCCTCGTATTATCAGCTCAAGATCGATGAGCGGCGTCTGGTGGTGGCCCCCATAGCTGCCATTAGCGGCAAGTGCGATGGCACCTCGGTCAAAAATGGTGGAAGCGGAGGAGGAGGAGGAGGCGGAAGCGGTGGCGGTGGCATGGGCTTCTATGGCAAACCATTTGAGCTCTTCCAGATGCGTCCATTGGGCAGTCCAAGTCCCAGCTCAAACGATGGTCCCCTGTCAGCCATCGAAATGGATGTCAATGGGAATAGACAGCGATTGGGCGGTGATACATCTGCGGACTTGGGCACAGAGGCAGTGACTGGTGGTGGTGATTCCAATTCCTCGGCCACCATGAAAACCGAACTGACCGATTATCAAGTGGAAACGGGCAGTTGTGCCGGCGTGACGGGTACCTATGAGGCAGAGCAGCCAATTGGTAGGTCAACCAGATCTCTAATTAATCTGACATAATGTCCACCTTTCCGTTGTAGCTCTCCATCAGCAAATTCTTTTGTGCTTTGCCCTGCAAACGAATGCCAAGGCCATTCTTAATATTGACAAGACCAAGGAGGTAAGTATGGAGGTAATGTATCCATAAAGATTTGTTTATCTGCTACTGCTCCAATCCCCATTGCAGACGCACACCTCCTGTCTGCACGGCTTGAGGGTCTTCTCAGTGCTCTGGACCATGATGGTGCATACGTATCTACAAATGTTTGCCATTGGCGAAAATAAGGTAACCAGTTGGTTTAGTTCCTCTGCATTATGATAATCTCACTCATTTACAACCAGTTCGAGCGCGTCATCACGGAACGTTCGGTGTGGTATCAGGTGATTGGGAATGCCACCTTCTCGGTGGACTCGTTCTTTTTCATCAGCGGCCTGCTGGTCACTCTGCTATACCTCAAGCAGGAGCGGAAGCATCCCACAGAGCCGTGCCTCTTTGTCCAGCGCAGTTGCTCGGAGACTCTGATGATGCTTTTCTATCGGTATCTTCGCCTCACGCCCGTCTACCTTTTCGTGGTCATCTTTAATGATTTTGCCGTAAGGTGAAGTAAACCCGCTCTCTCTCTGTGACTCCTCTTGACATTGTGGTCCATTTCCCTCTCCTGTTTGTAGACAAGGCCTGGACTCATCCGTGTTCCAGCCTGCTAAAATTGAGCACAACACTTGCCGCATCTACTGGTGGCGCAATATTCTTTACATCAACAACTTTTTTCCACAACGTGAGATGTGCATGATGTGGAGCTGGTACATGGCCAATGAAATGCAGTTCTATGTGATGGCCGCTCTTCTCTTGGCCTTTGCCAGAAAGTGGGTTAAACTGAGCTTCTTCAGAGCCATTTTATTGTCACTCTTCCCACAGGTATTTCAAGGCTGTGGCCTTGACATTGATCGTCTTCTTACTCAGCTCTTGGAGCCTTTCGGGTATCATCTCCCTGCAGCATCAGTATACACATAAAGTGGCGCTGCCCTTTGAATCCTTTGATTTCCTCTATGACAAACCCTGGCAGCGCGTGGGATCCTATATAGTTGGTGAGTAATAGGGAGATATTACAAAGCATTTAACTTTAAATAAACAGAATAAAGATTATTCATAAGCATTTAGAGCAAAGTTTGAATATATAATCCTATATATACAAAAGCATCGCAAAGTCATAGCATAAAGCCAATGGATTATGAATAATTTTAATCTGTTAATCGAAGCATACAAAAGCATACAAAAGTCATGGCATATAGCCAATGAATTATGAATAATTTCAACCTGTTAATCGAAGCTTAAAGTCGAGATATTTCACAGAAGAATACCCCCTAAAACTTGGGTTAATTAAATAGCTAGATATGTGCCTTAATAATAATAATCAAATTCCAGACTTACCCCAATAGTTTTCACGGTTTTCTTCAGTTTCCATTAATTTTCTCAACATGTTTTCCTTTATATTCTTTCCAGGCATGTGCGCCGGCTATGTCCTTTACAAGGTGAAGACTCCACCGCCTGTGTCCAGGCGTCTCAATTTAACACTTTGGTTGGCCAGCCTGTCCGTGCTCCTCATCGTGGTCTTTGGCGTTTGGGAGGGACAGCTGAGCACCGTCTATACAGCCTTCTATGTGGGTGTGGCACACACCGCCTTCGGTTGCGGCCTGGTATGGATCGTTTTATCCTGCTGCTGGGGTCTGGCGCCAACGGTGAACGCCATACTATCATACCGTGTCCTCTGGCCACTGTCGCGACTCACATACTGCGCCTACTTGATCCATCCCATCATCATGTTCATTTGCTCCTCGCACATGAGCGGCACTGTCCATCTGAGCAATCCCCTCATCCTGACCCTGTTCCTGGGCAATGCCGTCGTCTCCTTCGGCTCGGCCTTTGTCATATCCGCCTTGTTCGAGGCGCCCGTCATCAGAATACTCAAGATCTGCTTCAAAAAGTGAAGTGGAGTGTGTCTGTAAATGGGAATTTCCGTTTCTGTGGAATATCTAGCCGCCGGGGAAGCCCGATTTCATTGTTAATTGTTGGCTGCAAACATCTAGTTGGTTCTCGTTCGCCTTATTAATTTTTTTTTTGATTGTTTATGATTATATATGTATATCCTAGGCATATGTTACATATCTGTATATATCTGTATCGTATATATACGGTAGTCGTAAGAGGGTTTCGTGAGTGCGAAGTGGAGTGTGTTTGAAATAAAATAATAACTGAAAGCAAAAATTAATTTGTTTGTTTAATACAGAATAAAATATAGTTGAATAATTATACCTGGTATCATGAATTAATAACCATTTAATTCAAAAAGTGTTGCCCTTTTACGTTGAATAGAAAGAAGACCACTTTGTTTTTATATCCACAAATATTCGTAGTTAATTTTAGCTTGGTTAAATTACTGCATTTTCTAAAAAAAAGTTAAATATTTATATATTAGCATTATATATGGTTTATAATTAGTTATAATAATGTTTAAACAATCCTAAGGATTTGAAAAGGTGGCCATTTCTGTTATGACAACTGTCATGTATGAAAAGCGTCTCTGGTTGAATCTATAGATATATAAACTCAGTTGACACATGTCAAGTAAGTGAAAATCATTTCAGCTGCCAACGAAAAATTAACTATTTTGTCTGCTGCTTAGAATAGTATAGAAAAATGTCGGACCAACCAAAAACTACTGAGAAAAAAGATGCTCAAGAAACCACTGAGCCAACGGCTTCTTCATCGCAGCCGAATATTGGTTTGATCAGCACTGAGATTCCCAAGGGAACTAAGAATTCCAAGGGATCTAAGACTTCCAAGGGAAAAGAGGATCCCAAGAACGCTGAGACTTTCAAGGGACCTGGGACTTCCAAATCCTTTGAGAATTTTAAAGGAACCGAGGCTCCTAAAGGTTCCAAGACTCCAATGAGAGTTGCGATTCCCAAGTTCATTGAACCCACCGAATCCACTAAGTCTCGCAATCGTCGCTTTAAGAAGCCCGAAAAGCTGGTGCTCAGTGCCGCTGATGATGCGTTCCTCAGTATTCTGAAGTCTCACCAGATGGAGGATGTTGACAAGGAAGATGTTAAGGAGGAAGAGGTTAAGATGAAAGCCCAAGTAACATCACCGGCCAAGAGGTTTGTACAATAAGTGCGAAATACGTGTATGTAAAACATATGTAGACATATTGCTTACCCTTTTGCAGACTTTTTAACTTTGTCAAGTACAACCAGTCGCACAGCTGGGTTTGGTATGAATTTGGGGAATCCGTAGTGGACACCGCCGTTCAGTGCGGTACCTACGGCATGTCCAGCTGCATGCTCGAGTATTCTCCGCTGTTGCAGACCCGCCTAATGCCACGTCGCGGCTGGCAGATGCTTCGCCGTGCTTTGGGCAAGGCACGCAATTTCTCTCCGGCCTTCATCGAATCGGAGCTGAAGGAACTGAACCGCTCGCGTCAATTTGTGCGCAAGTTGCAGCAGGGCAAGCCGGTCAAACGGGAGGAACATGGTCTTGTGGAGCAGCTATATAGGGATATATCCCTGCCGCTCGCCGTCAATGACAAGGTAACCACTTTCCTAAAGGGAACAGGTATCGTGAACGGTGTGATTGCTCGCTTCAATCCAGAGGATAGTACTTACGTGGTTCGATGTGTCTTGAATCGCAAGACTGTGGACATCACTGTTCCAGATATTCTCATTCAATCGTTGGAGGACTTCGTTGGCCTTCCCATTGAACACGTGATGAAATCCATCGATCCCAATCAGCATATTTTCAAGATGGATGCCATCGTCAAGGGGAAAGGGCATTATAGCAAGGAGCTACTCGGGGCCATGGTGAAGGTGAAGAAACTGCTGGCCATGAAGGCCAAGGCTGTGCAGGATCTGGCCGCTAAGAACGATAATCGTGACAAAGCTCCCAAGCAAAGGAAGGGACAAGGTAGTTACCTGGGCGCCAACTTTACGGAGCTCCACCGTATCAATGCCGATGTAGAGGCTCCGATGCGTATCCTCCACGAGTACCAGAGACAGTATGAAAGAAAGATGAAGCTTCAGGAGATTAGGGCCTGTACCGCCCTCGAGCGCTACCTCATGTGTTGCCATCGCGCTGACTTGGATTTACAGAATGTGGCGAATAGGATCGATCTGAAGGTAAATGATCCGACCTCCAAAGCCTTGTACCAGGATCTCCAGACTATACTGTATTTAACCGGCGAGCTGGGTGCCCCGAACACCGAAGACATGATGATCATTACGGACAACCTCATCGCTTACATGATCAAGACTCTGCCACCGGAACTGAGTGCCCAGTTTGAGATAACGATGAACGAATTAAAGCCTTACCGCCAACGCGTTGTAGAAAAGCTCAAGAAGCTTAGGGAGGCTGAACAGGCCGAAGGTTCCTCCGATCAGAAGTCCACCGACAAGGAGAAGGCCTAAAATCTGTAATAAAGAAAAAGAATCTGTATTAATAAACACTTTTGTAAGTGTAGTTATGGTTCAAGTTTCCCTTGGGGGGGGGGTAAGGGATATATATATTGTATCCTACATTTGGATATATGGCTAAAAACCTTAAAAAAAAATCTTTTAAATATCGAACATATTTATTTATTTCGATAAGTTATAAAAATGCAGATGCACTTTTTCCCCAAAAAAAATAAAACTCGACAATATACGTTTCGCGGCTGCAATGCCTATCCTATGGCGGCGGTGGATCACCACTCCCCCCCAGCTTTCACCTCAAGTCCTCGGCTGTGTCCAAAAAACAATAGAGGAAGGGATCACTTGATTGGTGCGGACACACACCGCTCCGGGTATAGCAAGTACATCAATAGCTCATCACTAACCTCGACCTTGACGTCCGTACCGCCGTAACCGGCCTCCGCCATCTCCTGCTCCTCCTCGTCCGCCACAAAATACAATTCCCCGGGCGATGTCGCCAGCAGTTCCTGCGTCGGATAGAGCACCTTAAAGGCATCGCGCCTAAACAGCTGCACGGCCAGGCTCGCCTGTTCGCTGGCCCCAAGGCAGCTGTCCAGCAGCCGCTGCTGATCATCGTTGCCGTCCAGGCAACACGTGGCCGAGGCGAATGCCACGTTTAGATGCCACAGGAGACGGCGAAAGATGTAGTTGGCATAGCGACGACGCTGGCACTCGTACAGTTGGCGACGTACCAAGGAACAGGGCTGGAAAACGGCGAAGCCCATGAAGACCAGCAGCAGGAACAGTTGCGTGCAGATGGAGAAGGCCAGCACCTGGAGCAGTAGCAGCCAGCGCTCAAAATGCGTCTGCGGTGGCAGCTGACTGAGGTCCAGCAGCAGTGGCACACCATGTGGCGGGTACCAGGTGGTCACCATCATCTTCTCTGCTCCACCTGCTTCGCGGGAATCCTTGGGCCGGACGGACAGAAAACGAGTCAAAATTTGGAATTTCGATGTAGCCGGCGAACGAGGTTTACAGCTACTGTGACGACACTGGGAACACGAATATATTGTACAGGCGGGGCACGGCTCACTCTGCACTGTCGTTTACCCGATTTGGATACGGATCCAGTCACTATAATGCACTTAATGTTTTCTTATTAGTGAAATTTTCGCGCGTTATTTTGCTGCGTGGGTGTAGGGTGTAGTGTTGACTAATGCTGCGTATCCTGCTGGGGCGCCATCTTTTTCGATTGGGAATGTTATCGAATACAAGTGGTCGTGAGCGATTGCGCGTGAGCGGTAATCGATCTAATTAAATATATTGCCGTCTCGAATATTTTATTGCTTCTTGAATACATTATATGCAAAGTCATTTATATTCTGATTTAACATTTTTATTTATTTATAATTACATAGTGTTCATTATTTTTTTACACAATTTGTTACATGTACATGTACATTTACATCTAGCTATTTCTAGCTAGTTTCGATAGCTGATAGCTATCAAACACTGATTTACCATATGATTTCGATTAAGCATTTAACAACACTATCACTTACACGTGCAATTCGTAAACAAAATGCGTTTTTGTTAATTTTATGCACAAAACCTTATAATTTAGCAACAAAATGTCACGGATTATAGTAAAGCAGCTGCCGAAGCATGTAAGTAGTGCTTAATTTATACCCGCACCTATGTAATACAGCACCACAACCCGCCGACAGATCACGGAGGACAAGCTGCGTCAGATTTTCGGTGCCCAGGGAACGATAACGGATCTGCAGCTGAAATACACGCCCGATGGTAAGTTCCGGCAGTTCTGCTTCGTCGGCTACAGCAGCGAGGATGAGGCGCAGGCGGCCATCCGGCACTTGGACAACACCTGCATCCAGACGAGCCGGGTGCGCGTGGAATCTTGCGCTGCCCTGGGCAGTGAGTCCAAACCGCAGTCGTGGAGCAAGTATGCCAAGGATAGCAAGAAGAATCTTGACAAGCTGAAGGCCGAGGAGGAGGCGGCTAAGGCGGGGACCAAAATTCAGAGCAGTAAGGAAAAGAAAAAGAAGGACGACAAGGTGGAACAGATTCTGGGCAAGCACAAAGACGATCCCGAGTTCCAAGAGTTTCTACAGGCGCACGACAAGACTCGCACGCTGTGGGGCAATGACTTGGGCATAAATGGCAATCAAAACGAAGAGGAAAACGATGAGGATAAGAGCGAGCAGGATGAAGAGGATACACCAGCTGGCAGAGACGACAGCGGCGTAGATGCCGATGCAGGTGATGAGGAAACAGCGGCAGATGATGAGAATGAGGAGGACGCGGGGAAACTGGCCGAGAAACCCATCAGTGATCTGGAATACATGAAATCCCTAATGGCAGGCAAGGCGACCACACCCGCCACTCCCACCAAGAAAGCCACTACCAAGGCGGACAAATCCAACCTGGAGCTATTCACCATTAAAATACACAACGTGCCGTACAACACGAAGCGCCAGGAGGTGCTCAAGTTCTTCAAGCCCCTGAAGCCCTACTCGGTCCGCTTGCCCAGCAAAGTCCATGGCTTCTGCTATGTGGGATTCAAAACAGAAAAAGACATGGCCAAGGGAATGCTCAAGAACAAGAGTTTCATCAAGGGCAAGCAGGTGTTCTTCTCCGATTTCACCGAGAAGAACAAGGTGACCAAGGCGGGAAAGAGTGGTCAAACGGTGACGCCTGCAACAACAGAGACGGGCAATGCCAAGTGGAAGCAGCAGCAGGATGGTCTGTCCAAGGAAGATGACATTTCCGAATCGGGAAGGATATTCTTTCGGAATCTGGCCTACACCACCACCGAGGAGGAGCTCCGGCAGCTGTTCGAACAGTATGGTCCCGTGGTGGAGGTTAATCTGCCGGTGGATAAGTTAACGCGAAAGATTAAGGGCTTCGGCACAGTCACCTACATGATGCCAGAGCATGCTCTCAAGGCATTCAATGCTTTGGACGGTACCGATTTCCATGGGCGGCTACTACATCTGCTGCCCGGCAAGGACATCGCGGAGAAGACAGCCCAAGATGATCTCGATGAAAACGATGCCAGTCTCTCGTTCAAACAAAAGAAGGCCCTCAAGCTGAAGAAGAACGCACAAAAGCCCATCGGATGGAATACACTGTTCATGGGCGCAAATGCCGTGGCCGAGATTCTGGCCAAACAGTTCAAGACCACCAAGGAGAAGATTTTGGATACAAGCGATGGCGGTAGCAGTGCTGCAGTGCGTTTGGCCCTCGGCGAGACCCAAATAGTGATCGAAATGAAGCGTTTTCTTGAGGCCGAGGGCGTCCGGCTGAATGCCTTCGATGAGCCCCCAAAGAGGCGTTCCAATACTGTGATACTGGCCAAGAATCTGCCGGCAGCCACCGAAACGTCAGAACTGACGCCTCTGTTTAGTCGTTTTGGTCCGATTGGAAGGATTGTGCTGCCACCCAGCGGCGTAACGGCTCTCATTGAGTACTGTGATCCCTCGGAGGCAAGGCAGGCATTCAAGAAGCTGGCCTACAGTAAGTTCAAGAATGCACCCTTGTATTTGGAGTGGGCACCGGACGAGGTCTTTACCACAACACTCAGCGGGGAGCCGGTTATACCCAAATCGGAGCCTAAAGAAGAGAAAAGGGAGGAGAAGAAGGAGAAGCCTGAGGAATCCCAGAAAGAGACACCGGAGGAGGAGGAGAAACCGATTGCCGAGGATGCTGACGATGAACCCGAACCAAATACAACACTTTTCCTGCGCAATCTGAACTTTAAGACGGTGCAGGAGACGGTGGAGAGGCACTTCCGGCACTTGGGCAGCATACACACGGTGGAAATAGCCAAACGCAAGGATCCGGAGAATCCGCGACAGCTCAACTCCCTGGGCTATGGTTTTATACAGTTTAAAAAGTCTGCGGTGGCTGAGCATGCGCTCAAAAATATGCAGCTTACCCATATTGATGGTAATCCTGTGGAGCTCAAGCGCAGCGATCGTGTGTTGAAGTGAGTTTACAGTTGCAGGGTCACTGTCCAGCGATTCATCCTTCCTCTCTCTCGTTTAGGAGCCAAGACCAGGCAGGTGCTCAGCGGCGTTTAGCTGCGCAGAAGATGCAAACGGGCACCAAGATCCTGGTGAGGAATATACCTTTCCAGGCGCAATATCGCGAAGTCCGGGATATATTCAAGTAAGTTCACAATTTGCCTTGAGCTGGAGTCCTTTTCGAAGTCTCTTTTCATCCTTGTTCCTTTCTGTTCTCTTTTCCAGGGCCTTTGGCGAGCTGCGTTCGTTGCGCATTCCTAAGAAGGCCACCGGCGGCGAGGAGTCTCATCGTGGCTTTGGTTTCGTTGATTACATGAGCAAGGCGGAGGCCAAGCGTGCCTTTGAAGCGTTGAGTGCCAGTACGCATCTGTACGGACGCCGTTTGGTGCTGGAGTGGAGCGCCAACGATGATAGCCAGGATGTTGAGGAGCTGCGCAAGCGAACGGCGGCCAAATTTGGCGAGAGTCAGGCAGCAACTGCAGCCAAACGCAGTCGCAAATCCTTCTTCGATGTGGAGGCGGTGGCCCCGGCTGGTGACGATGACGAGGAGGAGGATGGTCACTGAGCATTACAAGTACAAGTTGTAAAATTGTAACAATAAATAATTTAACTTAAAAAATATTTACAAATTTCATATCTCACAATTTCTAAATAGAATACATTTTATTTTACGGTTCTGTTTTTTGTTTCTTTTTTTATATAAAACCTAAATTAATATAAAAAAAACAAGACGACGATCGAAAAAAAAAAACAGAATTTTATAAGCAATACACATACATCGTACATCGTACATATACATATCATATCATATATTGATCATTGATCAATCAATCGGCCGGCAAACTTGCGCTACTACCTCGCTTTAGTAAATTATATAGTACTAAGTATATAGTAATTAATTGTATACATAAATATATATATATATATTGAATGTATATATATATATATAGGTAGGCATATCTGTTGCTAGATATATGCTTGTTATATTGAAAATATTTGCAATTTGTTTCGTAACTTGTTTCCGGTTCTTTTGCGCTTTCATTTATCGGCGTTTTTGTTTTTCTTTGCAATAAGCTAGAGGCGGTATGTCATAAGGATGATAAGGAGAGCTATAGGAAGGGATGTATATCGAGTCTGATATGATATATCGAAAATAAAACTTAGTAAAAGTATTAACATATCAAATTATTAAATATAGAAAAATATTTAACGTTAAAATTATGATGAAAAGTATCTGCAAAAATGCTATTTAATTTAGATCTTTTATGTTTCCGATTAGTTCAGTACGATTTATCAAACAGAATATCGAATTATTGCATATTTGTATATCGTTGAATGTTGAATTAATGTTTTTTAAATCGATATATCAATATGTTCCTCCATCCCTAGGCTAAAGCTTATGTCATCTACAGATCTACATAGGAATATATGTATAAAATATTAGGGGGAAAAGGGGAGCGAGTAAGCAGCAGCTGGGCAAAGGAAGGGAAGCTTTAGCATAAGCAGCTATATTAGTGTTAGACACTTGATCATCCCAGGTGTGTGTGTGTTGTGTGTGTGTTGTTTGTTGTTTGTCTTGTGTCTCGCCATTGATTTAGATCAGTGAGTCTTCGGCTCGCCCTTTGGTCACTGATTTAGAGCCCTAATAACTGCAGCTTTGGTAGCAGAACCTCTGTTCCTGATCCTAGTCCTGGTCCTGGTCCTGGTATATACAATTGGCAGCACATCTCTCCGTCTCCCTCTTCTATATGTGTGTGTGTGTGTGTGCCAGAGAGACAGAGGTGTAGGAGTGTAAGAGGCATAGGCGTAGGCGTTATCATCGAATTTCCTTCGTATTTAACTGCTATTTTGTATGTTTAAAAAAATATATATGAATATATATATGTATATATATAAATATATATATTCTATATGTGTGTTTTTGTGTCTGTGTGTGTGTGTGTGTGTGTGTATCCCTCCTAATCCTTTTTGCGCGCCTGCAGGAAGCAATAGAGTATGCCCGCCTGGGCCATCACATCCACAGTGCTGGCTGCCAGCGGATCCTTCTGCTTCACCTGCGTCTGTCCTGGCCGCAGCAAGGTGGGACCAAACACCATGGCCAGATTGTGCAGCGACATCTTGTTGTCCGCCTCTTTTTCGTGGACTCTGAAAGAGCAATGGAAAATTGTGCATGAGTTCGAGGTGAAATCGAGGGGGATAAAGGTATGGTATATCGGAAGAAAAGTTATACATATTATATATGCATAAAAATCCACAAAAATCTATCAGAAATATCGTTCATTTTTACTTGAATTTGCATCAAATAGCAATAGTAATTTCAGTCAGAAGCATAAAACTAAGTGACGGAATGAGTTCCGACCCCACAAAGCATATATATTCTTGATCAGCGTCAACAGGAGAATCGATCTAGCCATCTTAGGCAGAAATAATTTTTTTCACAATTTTTTAAGGGGTTACATCGTTAAATAATTTAAAAATTGATAAAAATGTCAATTTTTTTACAATTTAAACTGAGTATGCAGATTTATTAACCCAATAAAAACTAGCATAGCACAGTTTTCCGAATTAAAATTAATGCATTTTTGGCTTAGTTATGAGTTTTATAAAACTTTGATTTGTTAAAAAAATGTTCATATTTTTTTAGCATGAAAAAAACCCTCTAATAATTCCATAAAACCCTTCCTTCCTTTCTTAATTTAATATATTTTTAATTTCATACATAATGATAATTTCATATTTCCACATTCGACGTCTAACACTTAGGGTATTTTCATTATTTGAAATTCAAATAAATTAAACTTTACGATATTTTTTATATTTCGCCGTTTGATAATAATAATCACGATCAAATTTTCTATATCCAATTAACAAAAATTAATTACGATGTTATTGGGTTAGGTAAGGTTTAAAATTTAAAGCGTATTAATTGATTTAAATTAAAATTAACAAATTTAATTAATAAAATATAAATATGCCTCTATTCCTCTGACTCCCACTCGCTCCCACTCTGTGTGCCTCTCCCTCTCTCTCCCTCATTACGCCTACGGAGCTGCATGCCCCTTACTCTCGCTCTCTCTCTCTGTGCATCTCTAGAGATACCCCTTACGCTCCCGCTCTCAAATTCTCTTTTCTCTTGCCTCGGAGCCTATAAATAGTGGGCTCTGCCGCCTTTGCGCACCTCATTCCGTCGGTGGCGTCTCCAGTGTTAACATCTAGAGTGATAGTGATAGTGCCTGCCCTTCGACCCGAAAAATATGACGTGGCCCATGCACAACATTCGGATGACTTGGATGAGGAAGAAGCTTGACTTGAAGGCACCGGAAATGTAAATCTACAATGACGAACACGGATAGCCACGTGTCCTCCACTGGGGTAAGTCCTTAGCATGCCAATTATATTATCTACATATATAGATACTAATTAAGTGATTAGGCCTAGGTCTAGAATCAGCTAGCTATGCATTTATTTTCCAATTAACTCCCTTATTACTGAATTTAAATTTATAGTAATTTTTTAGCAGCCTAACTTAAATATACTTTAACTTTACTATTACCTTTACGATAATTTGAAAACTATCCCTGACTTTTGTGATACATTTTGCTATATGATTTTACGCATAGAGGGTATCAATCACAAGCTTCAAACTTAGTCAAGGCAACGTTTCCGACCCTATAAATCATATATATTCTTGATTAGCATCAACAGCCGAATTTTTCTAGCTATATTCCCCAGAAAAATTTTTTTTCAAACATTTTCCTTTTTTTTACATCGTTAAAATTTTAAAAAATTTATGAAAATTTGAATTTTAAATTTTTCATTGAGTATGCAGATGTATAAACCCAATATAAAATATAGTTATTATCGATTAAAAAAATGTGATTATAATTTGAGTCAGAAGCATAAAACGTAGAAGGATTAATTTCCAACCCTATAAATCATATATATTCTTAATCAGCATCAACAGGCGAATCTTTCCAGCCATCTTCGGCAGAAAACAAATTTTTTTACAAAATTTCAATTTTTTGGAAAAAGGAAAGGGTTAAAATTTTCAAAAGTCGAAAAAAATTTTAATTTTTTTACATTTTAAATTGAGTATGCAGATTTATTAACCTGATGAAAACTAACATAGAACAGCTTTCCGAATCAAATTTAATGCATTGTTGGCTGAGTTGTGAGATTTTTAAACTTTGATTAATCGAAAAATTGTCCATATAAAAATCTTGATAAATATTGATTAGTAGTTAAGTTTAAGCTTAGTTTTGGTGGAAGATATGGTGTCTTTATAGCATATCGGACTGTTATTTTCCATATGATTCCTAAGGGTAAGTAGACTTACCTAATTAGATGATCTAGAATCAGACTAATGGAAGCCTTGTTCGCCTGCGGCAGCTCCTCAAACACCTTGAGCAGCTCATTGATCCTGGTGGCTTCGTTGTTGTTGCTAAACGCACTAAAGGTGTCAAAGAATCGCGGATATAGCTGATCTGTAAACAGAGCCTCGGGCAGCTCGCGAAGGAAGCTCTTCAATATGCCAGTGACCGAATGGATGTCCACTTCGCGCAGCAGCTGCTCAGCCTCATAGGCATCTATAGAAATAGAAAAGGAAGGAAATGATTTTAATGTACTCCATCACATTTGATAAGAAATGTATATATTACCCGACTCAAAGGCCTTCTTAAGCTTGGCCAGATCAGAGGCCGAGCCACTGACGCGATAGCATCCCACCTCCAGCATCCCCCGACGCTCCACCTCGCGAATGCAGGCACTGATGATGAACGGAATGTCGCGTTTTTCGCGCCTAATTATAGAAATATTTCATAATTTAATGAATATTCACAGATCCCAAAGACTATACTCATACTCACTTTAATACTTGACTCATTTTGGCACCGAAAAGGGCGCCCGGCTTGGTGGTGGCACGGCACAGCTCACCGGGCACAAACCGGAAGCTGCAGCCCAGCTCCAAAGTCTCGCTCAGCTTGATGCTACGCGTTTGCGTTGTCTCCGTCAGCCAGCTGAGGCTCAACTAAGGGGAAAAGATTGAAAATTAGCAACAAGTACAGTAGTTCTTAACGTAAGGGATAAACCCACCTTGAGTATGTGTTTGGCTCGCAACAGCGGTCGCTCCTTGTCCTCGTACAACAGAATGCGCACATTCTGGCTACCCTCCAGCTCGAGCATGAAACTCTCGTTCCACAGCGGCGTTTGGCTTCGGCAAATCATCTTGGTGGTGGCCTTGCGGAAATAATGACCATACGAGTCCACCTCCACACAGATGTATAGATCAGCCGCCTGCTCGAGGCCACTCAAGCCTTGGACACCCATATGCAGGTCACCAACCAAGAGGCTCTCATCATTGGTGTTGCGCATCAGATACGAACCCATTTCAGTCTTCATGCCACGCTGCATGGCCACAATGAAGGCGCTCACCTCCAGCGAGTTGATCGTATTGGCTCCAGGCAGGTTGCACTTTTGCTAAGGAAACAAAAATGGGTTCTCCATTAAGTTTTTGAAGAAAACTTGAAAACTAAAAACTGAAAACTCACCTTGAGCGATGTTATCGAATCGATCCATTGCGTTCGCTCAAAGTCCGAGCTAAGGAAGAAGGTCATGGTCTTGTTATTGGCCTTGTTGTTTAGCCGCAGCACCAAATTGGGTGTGGCCAGCACCAGTTGTGACTCCAGATCGGCCAGCTTGCGTTTGTATTTATCACCGGACCGTACTGGGCCACTGCTGGCCACCTCCAGTGCCAATTGATCGCGAACCGAGCGCAAATTGCGCTTCACTTGCGAAATATTCGCGGGACTAGATTCCTTTAGCTCGGCGGCGGGGTCAGCCTCCTCGACAATGCTCACATCCTTCAGCGGAATGAACCATTTGAGCTCGTAGTCAATGCGATCTCTACCCAATGGCTTGTACTTGGCGCAGGCAATCACATCGTTGAATAGGAACAGGTGACGCAGCTTCCGATGCCCGTCGACCAGCTCCACAATGAACGAATTGCGTACCATACGCCTCAGATTGCGATTCGATTCGCTGGGCAGCCGTTGATTGACCACATTGAACTGATTGAGGAACATCTGGATGATCTTTTGCGCCTGCCTCAGTGGCTGATGATCGGGATGGGCATTCGGTGTCTCGCGCAGCAGATCATTGAAGACCAATGCATTAATCTGTACCCTCGCAACCGGCTTGTGCAGCAAATCCTCCAGCGTCAACGATTGCTCTGTCTGAAGATTAACCACAATTGTGGATACAATCTTCTTGAATTGCGGATTATTTGCACTGCATTTCTTCACCGTATCGATGGCGTTCTTGTAATTGTGCAAAAAGGCGCTATACAGATCAAACATTTCGGCCAGACGGCGAAAGGGTTCTCCAATGAGCACATCGCCACCCTCATGGGATACTATGGTTTTCAGATCGTTGAGGAAACCAGTGTGTAGCTCAAACAGTTCATCGATTTTAAAGAAAATCGTATTCTCCTCCTCCTCCTTGATCACAGGCTGTGAGGTGTTGAGCGTGGCATGGATCGCCTTCTTGTACTGCAAAGAGGGAGGAACAAAAAGGATTGTTTAATTGAATTTGTTTCTTTACAAATTCTACATTTTACCAGTCTTTTTGTGGCACGTTTCCTATGTATTCGGGAAAATCGGAATGTTTTAGGTAATGTATACCTTTTCACCGCCTTCTTCTATCAACAAAAAACACACATGATTTGTTTTTGAAAGATCAAAGGAGCGGCAGTTCTACAGTCTTTAACCTTGATTAAATCTTTAAAACTATTCTAGGTTTTATAAATTATGTCTTTATATATTTCGATCTAGATCTCAAAAGGCAATACTCCTAAAAAGAGCATTCTGCTTTTGAGCTGCTCATGAATACCAAGAATTAATAAATATATATTATAAGACCCTATTCCCATTATTCCAACTAATCTTTCACTTTGTGATTTTAATACGTTTTTATTCATTTGTTTTAAAGTTACATAGGTGCAGATTAGATAACTTGAGTGCTATAGCAACTTTGATAAATACATGTTGCAAAAATTGTTAAGTTTATGATGCATTTAAGTACTTAAGCAAATTTTGCAAATCCAAGAGACATGATTACTCTTCTGAGACTCGCTTCTTTTCATATTTATACGGAATGCATATATATGTATCTGGTGATGTCTTTAATTTAGCTATCATCGTAGATTATTTGCTATTTTTCTAATCGGTTATGGAGATCTGGGCAAAGCCCACCAAGGCTCGTTCATCAAGGACTTCACCCGGCTGAACGCCGGATATCAATTGGAAAGTGATCCTCTTCATCGTTGCACTGGCGGCTATCAATTTCTCCAAATGTTGCGTCATCTGTTGCATATCCAGGGCATCCACGAGGGCAGCATCGACCAGTTCTTTGGCAATACATTCGGCGGTGTCCTTGCCCTCAACAAACTCGAAGCGTATGTCATGGAGTTCGCGGTTAATGTTGCGCATGCGCATGCGAAGGACAAGATTAACAGGTGCCACCGATCCGCTGGGTAATGGTAATTGGGATAACTTGGTAGTTGCCTCTTTGATGCCAGAACCATAGGCGGGAGCAGGACTTGGAGTGACTTTTAAAGTCATTGTGGCATCCGGAGATGATTCCTTCTTATCGCTATCCGAGGAATCGGCTTTTGCCAGGCAATTGATGGGTTTATCCTCCAAATCCGAATCCGAGGAAAGCATATTTCGAACACCAAACGGTCTGGAGCTGGCAGCGAAGCTAGTGAATCGAGAGCTATCCTCCGGCAAATCATCGTCGCTGGACCAAACCCATTCACCAGACATGGTGCGATGCAGGCAACCCGGTTGCTTTTTCGTTGCCTTGTGTACCCTTACCTCGATGCTGGGACCGGTACGGAGCAGTGTCTGGATGAGATACTTGCGATCCTTGGCCTTCTTGAAGAAGGCATGCTTTAGCAAATCACTGGCATTGGGTCTCTTGGTTGGATCCTTTTGCAGACATTCGGCAATCATCTTGCGGAATGTCTTTCCATACGCCTTGTACTGATCCTGATGAAAGGCAGCCGTTTCCAGGGTGGGCGGTTCATTCTGCAGGGTTAGCATGAGGACCTTCATCGGTGGATATTTGTGGTAGGGTGCCGTACCGGTGGCCATCTCAATGGCTGTTATACCAATGGACCAAATGTCCGCCTTAAAGTCATAGCCATGATGTTGCTCCATCACCTCCGGTGCCATCCAACATGGTGTCCCTACAAAGGTGTGACGTACCTTTTGACGGGACAAATCACGACCGGTGGCCAGCCAGGCACTAACACCAAAATCAGCAATTTGAATGGTACCATCATTACCAATTAATATATTTGCAGACTTGATGTCGCGATGGATTTGTCCATTGGAATGAAAGTACTCCAGGCCGCGTAGCACCTCCTTGAGAGCAGTGGCAATGGTGGCCTCATCAAAGACACCCTGCCGGCAATTGGATTGTCGCATTTTATGCTTGATAATGTCCAGAAGGGAGCCACCTTCGAGGAGCCGAAGCACCAGCCAGAGTTCCTCATCCACCACAAATGAGGTGTGATAGGTAACCACATTCTCGTGATTACATGAGGCCATCGCCTGGATCTCCTTGAGCAGTTCATCCATCGATGTATTCCAACGCTCCAGATTGATGCGCTTAATGGCACATCTCTCTCGACGCGGCAGACAGAAGGCACCATAGACGACAGCCGTGGCGCCCACACCAATGACATCGCCCAGTTCATAACTATCTTTGGTATTGGGCCACATGTGACGATCTTTGGCATAAGGTGTTGGAGCTGCAAAGCCTGTCATTTCTCCAGCATGAGGAGCTACAGCAGTAGCTATTCCTCTACCAGCTCCATTATTGCTGGAGATATTGGCCGCGTGGTAATAGGCCAGATTCCTGTTACCATTTCTAGCCGCCATGTGGCTAATGTGGGGTGGCGGTGTTGCAGGTCGACGACGGGTATTCATAATGTCACTTGGTTTTCTCTCAGGAGATTATCTTTGAGCAGCTTAAACTGATCCTTCTGACTTTGGTTAATTCCAATTTGAAGTTAATTCAATGGAGGTAAGAGGTAGGGACTCCTTTGGCCTTTCTTTTATTGATTAATTAAACTGATCACTTGATTGATCTTGATTTTCACTGTTAATATTTCCTAAAGCACTTAATTATTCAGGTTCAGATTGCTTCAAGTTCGTTGCAAGTTTCCGATTATATTTTTCGAGACGTCCAGTTGGTTCTGTTGCCAGTTTGAGTATCGGAAAACTGTCTTTGGACTTGGCTTCGTCCACCGGCAAAAGGCCAATTGTTTTGATAATGCTCACACAACCGATTTCGATAAATCATATTGAAATTATGGAATTATCTCTTTCGATCCCTCTCTCTCTCTCTCTCTCTGGAGCCGAGTTTGCAAATTAAGAGTGGAAAATAATAACAACAAATCAAATCAAAAGAAAAGAAATAGCCCCCACAAGAGAGGAGAGACACACACAGAGAGAGAGAGTGATTGGAGGAGAGCTTCTTAAGAGTCAGCAAATGGATCTGGGGGAAAATGGGCTGACAGGGCTTTAATCGTATATCTACGATCTGCGATACTTAAGGCATAAATCCTCCTGGAAACTATCTTGAAGATACATATTAAAATGTATTTATTTTCTTATCTCTCCGCAAATCGTTCGGTCAGTTTGTTGGGATGCTGAAGTGAACTTAAGCAAGATACCCTTTATACCCTTTAAATATTTCTTTATCTGGTAAAATCTTTATAATTACAGCTTTATGATAATATATATAATAAAGTAATAATTACATTGTTTAACCGATGAAAAGGAACTTTTAAAAGGCCGTAAAGGGTAAGCAAGTTTTTTTTTTTACATAAAAAGTTTTTGCTATTTATAAGAAATAAAATAATTTAAGAATTTTGGAAAGGAAAAATAAATATCTCCTCCTGCTGTCTACAAATATAAAACCCTAATTAAAACCCTTACTATAGGGTATATCCATTGCTCTTAAGAGAGCAAATACGAAAGATTCTTCTTCTCCAGACTCTAGACACAAAAGAGATCTCTTATAAACTACAAGACTACAACAAAGTTTATCTCAAGTTCACTTAGCTTATCCTATATTAAGATATATCTTAGCTCCTATATTAAGATATATCTTAGCTCCTATATTAAGATATATCTTAGCTCCTATATTAAGATATATCTTAGCTCCTATATTAAGATATATCTTAGCTTAATATGAGATAAGTTTGATAAAACTCACCTGCATCATTTTATTGAGGCACTCCACATAGATCGTCTCACTCTGGATTATCGAGCTGAGTATGGAACGTATTTTGGCACCGCGTGCATTTCCACAGACCTAAAGGGGATGGAAAATCGAATAGTTTGTTTTTCTTCGATGAGATGGTGGGTCGTGCAAGTGAGTTATATAAGTGTAAACAGATATAAACATAATTATATACAATGATATGATAGATAGAGTCAAGGGTGTTTTTACAACCAATTCCAAAACTAAATACGACAAATGACCCTACAATTTAGGCTTGCAAATACAAATACAAAAGATGCTTTAATAAATAGGTTTATGTAGGACAATATTTATATTTTGCAAGACTATAAACATTTACAAAAGTGAAGGAGCTACGCCACTCAGAGAGGGGGAAATATATATATATGATATGAATATAGACAGTGTTCGATGGAAGCAAGGGCAACAGAAGGACATAGACCATATGGAAATTCGATCGGTAGAGATCGGGTGCGCATATATATATCTATATCTACATATATGTTTGTATGTCTATCTACAAAAAAACAAGTACAAATATATTTATAATTGCAATCAATGGACGTGATAAACGGAAGCACAGTGAGGGAAACACAACTCCAATGATAAACAAAAAAACGGCAAAGGAAACGCATCCAAAAGCAATATATATATCCAAACAGATCAAACACGATTATGTACACAGATATATGTCTATATGGCAATATATATATGTATAATGACTGGTTGCAAATTGAAAGCTATAGCGTAAGCTGATCCGTTGTACTCACAAGTATTGCTGAAACTAAGTTCTGTTGGGAGAATAGAGAATAAAAAAAACAGAGAGAGAGAGAGAGAGAGAGAGAAAGGGAGAAGAAAGTAAAGATACAAGAAACGAAAAAACATGGTTAGTAATTAGTATAAGTTATTATAATCAAAGCCCACAAATAACAGTTGACCTTTTTTAAACAATTTTAAGATATTTTATCTTTTATGATCATTAAGAACATATTGAGAGAAAGATCTACTGAGAACACTTAATAATTAAACAGAAAATCAAAAGAAAACAGGTAACCTACTTAATATTTTCTTGGGAAATCAACTGTTTTTGGTGAGCATTGATAATAAGTACTTTAAAATATTTTAACTTAAGGTTAAGTAAGTAATTTCTGGGAAAAGTCTGCGATTATTTCTTCTCAATATATAAATTCAGTGTCTTCGATTTCAAGCCTCTCGTTAATGATTAATTAATGAAATACTGCACCTAACTGGGAACCTAGAGTATATATTTATGTTTGAAAATGTATTTAATTTCGTCATCAGATATATAAGGAAAGGTTTGCCTTTATGCCTCAATATATCAATTTAGTTTCTTAGATTTCCGAGCCGAGCTCTGGTAATGATCATTAAATAAGAATCATGAGTGATAATGAATGATTAATCAATTACTGCAAACTGAGTAGCTTTAGAAACTCTTTCCTTTTTTTTTTTAAAGATATATGAGTATATGTTTGCGATTGTTCCTTCTTAATATACAAAACAAGTATCGTTGTTTTCAAGCCTCTGCTTTCACAAGCTCTAATTACGATAAACAAAAATAGGCCCTCATTAATAACGATTAAATAATGAGTTACTGCAAGTAACTTGAGTAGCTTAGATTGTTCTTTGAACATATATTTTGATTTCTAAGGAATATTCCGTTAGGGAAATGTATATATGTTCCAAGCAATTGTACAGAATACAAAAATTAGTCTATTTGCTTGTAAACATTTCGAATTTGAGTCAGACACGAGACTTGAGCTTTTTCTATGCAATTTGAAATCAATTAGCGATAAGAAAAAATATGTTAAGTGGCAAAGCGTGAGCTTAGTCATCAGAGAGGTTGCATCAACCCACCCCTTGGGTTTACTATAGAAACCTATAGCTATTAGCTGAAACTGAAGCTGAAGCTTAGGTAAGCTGAGCTACTACAATAATTCTGATGATGATGTTCATTTGGAAACGAAATGACAACGTTGAGCTTGACTGGGAATCGGGGAAACAAGGTTCTGCTGATATAAAAAAAAGAAACAACAACTTAACAACTTAAGCAATGCATTGATCCATGAACTTAGAATGTATATACCTTGCGCAGGGCTCCCGGCGTGGTTTGCGATGATGTGGTGTTCTGCTCATCATGCGAAATGGTGCGCAATATGGGCGGACCCTCGTACTCCCCGTCGCTGTCCAGTGAGCTGGAGCGCGTCTCGTTGCTCTGTCTGTTAATAAATATAAATAATAAATATAAAATATATAAATATAGCGGGCGAGCACTCACTGTAGGAAGTAGTCAATGTTGACATAGTTGGAGGTCCGGCCTGGAGATTCGGGATCCGTCACATTGGCCAGGGGCAGGGTGCTACTACTGCCGGGTGTCGATAGGTCATCGCGACTGGAGGAGGAGCCTGTACGTCCGGGCTTTATAAACACATATTCGCCCTCGCCATTATCCAGCGGTACACTATCGTAATAAGGTTCGTTGTCTGCCACCGTTGATGCTGTTGCCTGTGCCGCTGCTGCTGCCGCCGCTGCCGCCTTGGCGCTGTCCGAACTCAGCGAGGAAACGCTCTCATAGCTCTTGATCTGAGGGAATATATAATTATTATTTTAGAGTCAGTTTGATATTTAGAAATGTATCTCTAAAGTACTCACCACCTCTGATATGCCTTGGGATGCCAGTGACTCCTTGGAGCCCGCACTTCTCTGATTCCCTGAACCGCCTTCCGCATCGCTGGCCTGCAAAGAAGTCCGTGACTTCTTCTCCAGGCTGCTCGTCGAGCTGCTATCTGTGGCCGCCAGCTTAGCCGTCTTGCTAAGACTGCCCGTGGGCGATGCACCTACACCTGTGCTACGTCCCGGCGTCAGGGCTCGTCCTGGCGTGGATGCTGTGCGTCCCAAGCTGCCGCCGCCGCCGCCGCTCGAAGGGGAAGACGAGGAGCCCGCATCGCTGCGCTTTGCCTGCTCCAAGCTGTTGCTATTCTCGGTTGTCTTGCCCACCATTTTACGTCCCAGCTCCTCCATCAATTCCGGATTATTCACATTCACGAATTTGCCCAATTCCGGTGTGGTCTTACGATTCGCTGCATATTTGGAGTCCAGATTCTCCGATGATTTCTGCCGGAGTATGTCTGAGGGTTTGATATTCCGCTCCAGCGAGTTGCCTGGACTGTCCGAGGAGGCAGATAGACTGCCGCCGGAGCTGCTAGGCAGCGGCATTGTGCTGCCCGTGAAGGGTGTATCCCGTTTGGGGGAGGATGACAGCTGCTGTTGATTGGGAATGGTGGGCGGTTCCACGCGTCGTATATTCTTGGGCGGAGGTCTGCAAAGAAGAGATGCGGAGATACGTTAAAATATGGTTTCAAAATCAATATATATTGGAATTATTTAAACACAAAAAAAAACCAAGGAAACTTTACTTGAAAAACTATTAATATTAAGTCCTAGTTGCTGTAGACTCCCTTTGGTTTTGCAGAGTTTGCAACCAGTTTTCACACACACACACACACACTCACCTGGGTGGCATTTTCTTTTTGGCCTCCACGTGGGCCGCATACGAGGTGAGCGATGGTGACAGTGGCGGGGCCGAGGGTTCCGCACCCAGTCCTCCTCCTCCTCCAGCGTTGCCCGCATAGCGAGCGAATGTGGAGGGCGGCGTGGGTTGCTGTTGCTGGTCATTGACCGACGTCGACGACGTGGCTGTATCGTCACCCTCTTTGTCTTTGGCCTCCTTGACCTGGATGACGGTAACGTACTGCGATGTGGACTTGCGCAGCGGCACTTTTGTAGACTCCTTGTCTGCATCTCCACCAGTTCCTCCGCCACCTTGTGCAGTTCCATTGTCCGGCTGGGCTTTGATGGAGGCCGCCAGCTCTGTGATGCACTGCTGCAAGGCTCCATTGGCATCCTTTTCAGTGCCACTATCCTTGTCCCGATCCTCGCGCTCTATAAGCTGCGGTATCCGCTTGCCACCTGCCCCCGTTGGTGGCGCTGATTGTGGCGGAACGGTGGTGCTACCGCTGCTGCTGCTCCCCGTTCCCGTTCCCGTTCCCGTTCCGGCAGCATTTGTGTGTGTGTACTTGTTGTCGGTGTTCAAGGACAGGCGGTCCTTGTCCTTACCCGACGACGACGATTCGCGCAGATTTAAGCTAGATTTCTGTAAGAACAAGAACATATATATATATTATAATATATGTCTGAGGAAATTTAATTGAGCGATCTCTGAACCAATCAGTAATCAGTAATAAGTAATCGGCAATCAGTGTTAATGTAACTCAATCAAGTTGTAAGCAGCACACATTTACATCTCAATTTAAATAAATTTAAAACAAAAATACAAGGTAATTTAAAGAAGTTTAATTTAAGTTCACTTAATACTTATAAATCAATAATATAAATATATTAAATAAAAGAAAATAACTTCTCATATTCAATGATTATTATATGTATTTGGAATATTCTTTGGTTAAAAATAATAAATGTTAAGAAAAGCATCGATATTGTTTGAATTTCAAATAATTACTAAAAAAGTATACTTAGAAATGTAAAATTTCCATATTTTTAAACAATTTATACATTACTAATTAAGTTAAAACAAGAACAACGCAGAGATTAGCTTTCTTTTTTAAGAATTTAATCAAGAAATGACTCTAGTTAATGATATATCAACAATGTATCAAAATTTATACTTTTGATATATAAATCAATATTTGTACATTATGTTAAATCAATATTATGTTTAATGTACAAAAACAATACCATTGTAAAAATGATATATACATTAAATAACAATTCTCTGAGATTTTGTGGGGAAAATATGAATATTCTCATGTTTAAAGCCATGTTTTTTTCAATATTTATATTATTGATATATTAAAGTTTAAGATATTTTCAATACGATACTTTTCTTGATAAATTGTAAAGGACTTATCCTATCGATAAAGATTGTAATAAATTCTACGTAACTGATAAGACAACTAATTAACCTAAGGTTTTTGAAGAGAAAAGCTTGTAATAAAAATGTATTCCCCTAAAAACTAAATAGATACTAAATATATTTTTTATATATCTATACTATTCACCTGTTTATTTACCTTCTAAAGGTAAAAGTTCAATGATTTTAAGGTGATCATGTACAAAAAGAGAGAGTTAAAATTAACATATATGCAAAAAATAAATAAATAAACAAGGGCACACCACACACACAGCAGAAGAATGCTGGGGAGAAATCGGTAGCAATTCTTCTCCAAATTCTCGTCTTCTGATTTGCCAGAACCCAAAACCAAAACGAGACTTGATAGATACTCTATTTCTACAGTTTCGCTGCCAAAGTGTTAATTGGCTTCGGGCCGATTTGACTCGACTTGACTTGGCTTAATCCCCCAGGGCACAAATACTTGCCAATGGCAAAACACCCCCGCTTTTTGAGGCCCTCACCTCACCTGAAACTATTTTTATAAACGAAGTAAAATGCCAAGCACGTAGCGCATTTCATTTCATTTAATTTCATTTCGATTCGAGCCGTTTCTCCACTTTAAATGGCTAAAAACCGAACAGCACACAAGCCAGACACACAAACTTGGCTCAAACTCAAAACGCGTGCGTGCGTTCGCTCTTCGCTCCCCGCTCCTCACTCCCCTTGTCTTTATGTCTACTGTCTTTGCCACAAAATATTTATTTATTTATTTGTATTTTTGCTGTTGTATTTTTTTTGGGGGGCTTTTGAAAAATGAAAAAGTGAAAACTACACACGGGTAAGTAGAAACAAACAAATAAATGCGAGGCAAGAAAATACAAATAAATAAAGGGAGCAAGCTTATTACCAAAATGGAAAATTGCCAAACCAAAAATTGGTTTTTTAGAGAGGCGGTGAAGGGGAGAGGGGAGCTGACCAGGTGGTGGGTGGGGACTAGACCACCGGTGGATGTGACCAAGCGAAACGATGAAGAAAGCGTGCCCAAGTGCGACTCAAAGCCACAGGAAGGTCGATGGCTACTACTTGGTCTCGTTCATAGAGAACACAACAACAGCTTCTAGCTTGGCAGCAGAAATACATTTTAAATAAAAACTAATAAATATTAAATAAATATTACAAATATGTATATTAAATCTAAAAGATTTATATTATAAACTTTGTAAAAACTTTGGTTTGTACATTGTTTATAAGCTCATTGTATTTATTCATTGTTAGGCTTTCAAATAATTATTATTATTATTATTCATTTCCTATTCTTTAGTTTCTTTAAGTCGATATTTTTTAAGATATTTATATGAAAAATTTTTGGATTAATCAAAATTAATTAAAATCTCATAACTCAGCCGAAAAAGAATTTAACTTGATTCGGAAAGCTGTTCTACGTTAGTTTTGATCAGGTTAATAAATCTGAATACTCAATTTATAACGTAAAATAATTCCAATTTTTATCAATTTTTCCCCTTTTTGTTTTAATCGATATTAACTATATTTTAATATTTTTTCTAAAAATCAAATTTTCAAAATGTCACAACTCAGTCAAAAATGCATTAATTTCAATTCGGAAAGCTGTTCTGTGTTAGTTTTTATGAGATTTATAAATCTGCATACTCTATATAAAATTTAATTTTTGGTCGATTTTTTGAAAATTTTAATGATGTAACCCCTTTCCTTTTTTTCCAAAAATGGAAAATTTCTGAAAAATGTTTTTTTTTTTTGCCGGATATATCTAGAAAAAATCGCCTGTTGATGCTGATCAAGAATATATATTGTTTATAGGGTCGGAAATGGCTCCTTCACTTAGTTTAAAGCTTCTGACTAAAGTTATAATACCATTTTTAATGGATATTAACTATATTTTAATGTGACAATTTTTTCAATAAATCAAAATTTAAAAATGTATAACTAAGCTAAAAATGCATTAATTTTAAATCGGAAAGCGTTCGTATGTTTATTTTTAGCAGGTTAATAAAACTGCATACTCAATTTAAAATGTGAATTTTTGACCGATTTTTTTAAATTTTAACGATGTAACCCCTTTCTTTTTAAATAAAAAATTGACAATTTTTGAAAAATTTTGTTTTCTGCCGAAGATGGCTTGAAAGATTCGCCTGTTAATGCTGATCAATAGTATATATGATTTATAGGGTCGGAAATGACTCCTTCACCAAGTTTTATGCTTCTGATTGAAATTATAATACCCTGGAAAAAGGTATAGAAATTCAATAGCATTTTTTCCCAGTGCTCTCCCTCGTTTCGCCTTTTTTTCTCTCACATTTTATCATCGTTTTACGCTTTTCTCCTCTGCATTGATACAATTACTTAGCATATTGTTCAATTAACGGGCAGCACTTGGGGTCATAGGCAGCTTATCAGAGTCGACTTTTTCTCAGGCTGAGCGAGGGGTGAGTAATGGTTCTCCCTCCTCCTGGTACCACTTTTTCTCAATAAAATTGGAACAGATTTATTAATAGGATTTACCCCCTTAAGTCACTCCAGAGACTTCATTAATAATAACTAAATAATATTGTTTATTTTGGAAGCTGAGTAATAATTGCATTTCCAAGAAACTCAGAAACTACAAACTTTCTAATATTCTATAATTATTCTATAGTTCTTGGAAACAAATAATTATATATAGTTTTTGGCGGAAAAAGGTATAATTCTTGGAGAAAAAATACAATTTTTACTAGCCATCTATTATTCTTCGAACAAAATAAAAATTTTTGGGAACAAATTAGAGGAAATAAATATTTTTTGGAAATATATCCATAATTCTTGGTTTAAAAAATATTTTCAAGAAAAAAGTATAATTCTTAAATAAAATATATTTCTTTCCGTGAAAAAATCTTTAGTGCTTAATGAAAAATAAATATTTCTAAGAAAACATTTACAGTTCTTAGAGAAAAATTTATAGTTTTTGGAAGAAAAAACTATAATTATTGGAGAAAATATATAATATTCACAAACTATTTTTATTAAAGAATAAATAAAATAAATATTTGTAAGTCCCATAAATCTTTGGTTCCTAGAGAAAACAAAAATATTTTTAATGAAAGGTCAGAAATAACAAAAGGAATGTCTGCCGCCATACAAATGAGCGTTAATTGAATCGACTTTATTATCTGACACAATCATCATTTTCTCCAGAAGATTTTATGATTCGCAAGTACCAATTAGAATTTATGATCTCTCTCTATATATATATTAAAAGTAATCTATTTCTTTGATTATTTATCCGTTTCTCCCATGACTTCTTTTGCAAAGTTTTCCAATTTAAAAACAGCTGTTTTGTTGGTTAAGTTTATAGAAAAAAACCATCACAATCTCTTGGCCAAAAGTCACCCGCATGTAACTATAAAACAAAGTGAAGTATGTGCGCCCCTCCTTTCGTGGTCATATTGATATGGATTGCAGCTTATCAGCGGACAGACGGGGACGGACAACAACAGTTTGTGCCTCTGCCTCTGCCTCTGCGCCCAGATTGCCAAAGGGCGCTCTCGCTCACCAAAAGCAAGTCGCAGCAAAAAGCATAAAAAACAAAAAACAAAAAGCGCAAAGCGGCTTCACGCCTTTTTCTCCAACTTGCTTTCTTCTTACCGCCTTCCCCTCAGAAGCTTGTCTTTGACCTTTCTACAGACAAGATCATAACAATAGCAATGAACTATGATGCGAAAATTGAAGATGCTTAAAAGATATGTATCTTAAAAGTATAAAGATTTACAAAAGAATCTGGGTAAAATTTATAATTTTTAAGTATATATATCATATGACTAGTATATATATCATATACTTAAAAGTATAAAGATTCACAAAAGAATCTGGGTAAAATTTAGAATTTTTAAGTATATACATCATATGACTAGTGCTACAACTACAAGTGTAAACTTGCTGCTTTAGTATAAAAATTCAATAAAATTATAAATTAATAAAAACTAAACTTTGCAAAGCAAACGTTTATATAGCCTTGAAGTGTGCTGTTTAATATCCTATAATTCTAATCAGAAATCAATCATAACTAAGCTTAAAATTGTTGCATTCTTTGAAATAATATTTATATGACAATTTTTGTAATAAATTAAAGTTTAAAATCTCATAGCTCAGTCAAAAAAGCATTAATTTCAATTCGGAAAGCTTTCATATGCTAGTTTTGATCAGGTTAATAAATCTGCATACTCAATTTAAATTCTTAAAACATTGTAATTTTTGCGATGTCACCTCTTCTCTTTTTTTCCAAAAATGGAAAATTTGTAAAAAATATTTTTTTCTGCCGAAGATGGCTAGAAAGATTCTTCTGTTAGTGCTGATCAAGAATATATAAGGTTTATAGGGTCGGAAATGGCTCCTTCACTTAGTTTAAAGCTTCTGACTAAAGTTAGAATACCATTTTTTAATGGATATTAACTATATTTGTATGTGAACATTTCTTCGACAAATCAAAATTTTAAAAATTCATAACTAGGTTAAATTGCATTAATTTTAATTCGGAAAGCGTTAATAAAACTGCATACTCCATTAAAAATTAAATTTTTGGCCAATTTTTCAAGATTTTAACGATGTAACCCCTTTTCTTTTTTTAAAAAAAATCGAAAATTTTTGAAAAATTTTTGTTTTTGCCGAAGATTGCTAAAAAAAAATTGTCCTATTTATTCTGATCAAGAAGGGTCGGAAATGGCTCCTTCACCTTTGAAAGAGTATATAATACCCTCCGAGACTATAAAAATGTCTATAGTTTTAATATGAATGAATAATTATTCTTACTAAATGGGATTAATCCTAGACCTAAATATAATACTAATATTCATCTTTAGGGGCTTTAATTTATTTAAAACTTTATGATTTAGACATAATTGAAATGTTTTAAGTACTTGCTCTTACAGATTTTTATAAACCAAGCTTAATCACATTTAAAATTTATGATATTTGGAAAAGTAACTCATAAAACTATAACTTTAAAACAGATGAGAAAAGGGTTACTATAATAATTACCCCAACTGTTTCTGCTGTCTGTTTGTATTTTATTTATTATTATTTTTGTTTTTTTTTCTAAGTGCTTTGCCTTAACGCTTTTTTTTAGCCGCTTGCTGTTATTGCTTAATTTCTCGGCTATACAAATACACCTATATAGATATATATACATATGTAAGTATGTATAGTATAAGATAGAGCCTATAGCTATGTGTGCACCGTCGTTTTTTTGCGATAACTTTATTGATTTCGACTTGTGATATTAAAAGTACTAGCAACAATTGTTTTTTGAGTATTTTTGCAAGTAAAAATGATTTTAAATCAATTGATTACGCACCCCTCTGGACCATAATTTGAATTTCTCTTTGAAGGAAGCCATGCTTGTTGCTCCCAATTTAGCGCCACTTTTGTGGGAGTCACCTCCTTGTTTTGCTCCTTTTATTCAGTTATTGTTATATATATATATATTTATATATGTATATGAATCCAAATCCTTAAAATCCCTGAGCGGAAAAAGGGATAGACTGGCGACGATTTAGTGACGATGACTAGGCGATGACGCCGGCAGCAAGTACAACTGCGACGCCGGCGTTGACCACGAAACTTGAGTCAACCGAACGACACACACACGTTAACACACACACACACACACACACACACACGTTAACACACGCACCAACAAAAGACAGAGCTCTACAAATGCGAAAAAAAAAACAATAAAAAAAATAAAGGGTATATGTATTTTCTTTTCTTAATATTTTTACGTAATTCTTTTGTTATTGTTTGCTCCGTTTTGCAGGTGTTTAATTAGGCTTTGTATTCATTGGATTTCCGCTTGACTTTATATACATATATCTTATATATTTTGTATCTTTTGGATGGATGTATCTTTTGGGCACTTGTAAGCACTATTCTTGTTTTTTTTTTTTTAATATACAATTTCTTTTTCTTTTTTCCGTCCGTTGTTGCTGTTATTCACCCAAAACTACAAACTGTCGACAATATATGACAATATTATGCAGCGTTAACGTCGTTGCCGCTGCCGCCTCAGCCGGCAGAGAAAAGCCTACGGAAAATATACTAACAAATAAAAAAAAACGAAGGAAAATAAAAAAAATTAAACGCTCACACACACACACACTGCTGGAGCTGGAGCTATGGAGCTGCTGGTGTGGGTAGATAACGGCCTGGGCAACGGTTCCCCAGATATCGGTCCCGCAGTGGTAGAGCCCATGCCCATGGACATATAGCTATATACATATATATATATATATATATATATACACTTAGATAGGGTTCAGCGACAGAGGAAGCGACAGAGACAGTGGCTGTGACTGAGGCAGCGGCAGAACCAGCTGTTGCATGTTGGCCAATTTGGCTAGAATAAAACCACTAAAACCAAGTATCAAAGGGATATATATCTTTGTAGATATATGCATGTATCTGTGAGCGAAAAATCCTAAACTATAAATCCAAGTATCTTTGAAGATAAACTATTAGATATCTTTGACTAGAGAAACCTCTAATCCATGTATCTTAGGTAACTATCTTCGAGATACATGTATCTGTCAGCTAAAAATTCTAAACTATAAGATATATTGGGCTTCAAGAATCCTGATACAAGTATCTAAGGTAAGTAATATCTTTAAAGATATATGGATATGAATATCTGGGAGTTAAAAATCCTAAACTATGATATATCTTAGACTAGAGCAATCCCTAGGCCAAGTATCTTAGGTAACTATCTCTAAAGATATGTATATGTATCTAGCATCTAAAATCGTAAACAATTATATATCTTTTACTAGGAAAAGCACCGATTTCAAGTATCTTAGAGAACTACATATGTATCTCTGAAGATATATGTATGTATAAATATAAACTAAACTATGAGTTATCTTCACCATTTTAAAACGACATATACTACCTACACTAAGTTCTAGGGAATAGAAAGAAATCTAAGTACTAACTTTAAGGACTTATTAAACCTTACAGAAACCTGTCTGAAATTATAAGAAGAAAGGAAAACTGACTTCGGGAAGCCCAAGTTTATATACCCTTGTAATTTGAAATTAAATTATAAAATCAAATCGGAAATCGATCATAACTAAGCTTCAAATATTGGAATTCTTTGACTTTATATTTAGCAATATTTATATATGACAATTAAAGTTTAAAAATCTCATAACTAAGCCAAAAATCATAAATTTGAATTCGGAAAGCGGTCCTATGCTAGTTTTTATTAGGTTTATAAATCTGCATACTCCATTTAAAATGGATTTTTTTTAATTTTAACTTTCCTATTTTTCAAAAAATGGAAAATTTGCGAAAAATATTTTTTTCTGCCGAAGATGGCTAGAAAAATTCTCCTGTTAATGCTGATCAAGAATATATATGATTTATACGGTCGGAAATGAATCTTTCACAGCGTAAGAAGCTTTTGACTAAATGTATAATATCCTTTCAAGGGTATACATCTTATTGATATATATTTATGGAGTATAGACTTAAGATATTATAAACTTAAGTCTTAATAACAGTTACAATTAATTGATTAATTAAACCCAGTAATGTTTACATAGAGAACTTCAGGAAACCCGAATTTGCTAGCTTTATAATTTTTCCGAACTAGTTCCCATTTATATCTCCACTATTGTCTTTTCTTTTTATTTTCTTTATTTTTGTTAGCTGGGTTCGACTGCGCTGCCTTGTTTATTATTTATTTTCCACTCTCTCCCCACCTCCGCTGGCTTTCCCCCCAAACGAAACTGATAAGCAGGCAATGACATTTGCCAAAGAAATCGACGACGGCGTTGGAGAAGAAGGAAAGCCAGCAAACAAAGCTGACCGCCTGGTAGCAATACCCCAGCCCTTTCACGATCCGAAAGTATAGACTATATAGATGCATAAACCCGTAAGCACAATAAGGGGTAAGTATCTACAGCTGATGTGCTTAAAGAGATACTTTGGGATTATGAAAAGTAAATAAGAGAAAATGCCTTAAGAACTATCTTTCATTATTGGTATTTCGTGAAACTAAATAGTAAATATAGTGGAAAGATCAACAAATATTATTATCAATATACACTTTTTTCTAGGTCAAGCCTTAAGTTTGTTTTTGATTTAACGGTCGATCATTAATCGAAAGTACTTGAAAGAAAAGCAATTCTTGGGAATTCCCTGCCTGACTGGGCGGGAAAATTTAAATTTAGTAATGGAGCACCATACTTTCTAAGCAATATTTATCGTATTTAAAAACAAAGCTCTGTGAATAGATCTTATAACTTTTAAGATATTATCTTGGGTAGCTTAAGCTTTTCCTAAAGATTTCTTGATGAGAAATAAAGATACAAATATCTTACACCCTTAACACCTTAACAATTAATCCCCCGATACTTACAAACTCTTTATCCACGCCAGTTGTTGTTCCCGCTCCTGCACCATTGGTGGCGCTGCTGCCATTATTGCTCCCATTGCCGTTTCCATTCCCGCTGCTCCCGCTGGCCGCCTCAAACAGAGCGGTTGGATCTCCACCAGAGGCACGATATTTCTCCACATCGGATAGCAGACGCTCCAGATATTCCACATAGAGTGTCTCCTGCTCCAGCTCTTTGCTCAGCTCACAGATCTTGAGCTTGTGCCGCTCCAGGCTCGCCCGCACATCCTGCTCCCAGGCATCGGACAGGGAGCTCTGCGGGAATCGCTGCATCCACAAACGTTGAAAGTCATCAAAGACGCTCATGTTGTGTGGCTGACTGGATGGCCCCCCCTGTCGGCCGCTCCTCCTAGCAGCTGTCTGTCTGTTTTCGTTGATTTTTATTCACTGCTTCCGATATATACGTATAGATTTTGTTACTCGGCTTCTGGTACTGCTGCTGCTGCTGCTGCTGCTGCTGCTGCTTCTACTGCTGCTTCTGATGATGATGATGATGATGATGTTGATGATGTTATTAATGGTGACTTCTCGAGACGATGACGAAGAGAGGGCGAGGTTGGCTTTTATGTAACAACAGGCACCAGTTGTGCGTTGTCGCCTTCACTGCCTGCAAGAGTGAGTGCATGAGTCTCTGTATCTGTATCTGTATCTGTGCGAAGTCTGCCGTCTGTGTATCTGTATCTGTATGTGTGTTGGTGAGTGCGTCGTGCGTCACAGTTTCTTAACTCAAAAGTCGGGGAATATCCTTGCGTGTGGGCAGTAATAGCAACAACAAAAACAAAATCTTACAGGAGACGTCAAATATATCTCAGGGATAACCAAAACAACAAAGAGCTGCATTTTGCTCAAGATACAAATGAATATTGTTTAAGTAAACTCCAAATTTTATATAAAGAAAAGATTATTTTTAAGTAAGGCAAAGAACACCTTAAATAACCAAGTTTTAAGTGTATCTAAAGAATATTAATAGCTTTAAAAGTGTTATTGAAGAATTTTACAATTTAAAGCTCTGAACAAAACTTTATAATCATAAAATACTATTATAAATTGAATTGAACACTCAAAGTCTTGTTTTTTAATTAAAATTCATATTTTATATGTTTTAAAACCAGTTTTTCCCTTTATAACTGCCAAAATAAATGTCATAAACTGCATTTACCTTTATAAAAATGTGCTAAATATGTTCACATCTTTAAATAAAGCAGTAAAAGCGTATGAATCATGGCAAAAACAAATATTTACAATATTTATCTTGTAAAGTTTATCATTTATAAGATAAAATGAAAACAATAATAAACTGAATTTTCGAATCTATACGCTTTCTAGTTGGAATTAAGTTCGGTTTTCGAAAATCAAAAATAGCGGTTAAAAAAACCGGTTTGGTAGCCCTGGTTTTCGGAAGACTGCACTTGCACTTGTAGTTGCTGTTGTTGCCCTTTCGAATGCCGTCTGTATGTGTGTGTGTGTGTGTCTGTGTTTTGATGCTGCTGCTGCTGCTCCTTCTTTTTCTTCATCTTCCTCTTGCAACTTTGTTGTTTTCTTAAGTTGATTTTTTGTTGTCACCTTTGCAGCCAAGGCCAACAGTGCTGAACTGGCGACTTTTGTTTCGCAAAACCTTTGGAGGCGCAGACGCAATGAATTTCCATCTAGTTTTTCTCCGCTTTTCTTTCTTTTTTGTTTATCAAAACAACAACAAAAGCGGAGCAGCAGCAGCAGCAGAGTGACACCCACACAAACACGACAAATCACACAAACAAAAAACACATGCAAAACTCCTCGAAGCACTTTTGTTGTTGTTGTTAGTTGCTGTCTTCCACCTCTTTCACTGCTTCCTCCACTTTTTTCTCCTTCTCCACCACCTCCGCAACATAGGAGACAATCAGTGGGCGTTGCAGCTGGGCGCAGCTTCAAAAACAACAACAAAAAAAACCAACTCAAAAAAGAAACACTCGAAAAAAAAATCAACAAGCCGTTGCCGCCAGCGATGCTCCTCTAGCAGTTGTTGTTGTTGTAGTCCCTGCCCAACCAAACACACACACACAAGCACAGGTATTCGAACGCACACGACGCCACACTTCACAGTTATGTTATCCTTGTGTTATGAATTCTCACACGAATCTGTTAGTGTTTGCCATTCCAATTAGATTTTGCTTAGAAAAAAAATTATATTCACTCTTTGGCAAACAGAAACACACACACACACATTCGCACCGCAGAGAAGCGCACACAGACAACACATTTGCATATGTGCAGCGTCGATGGCGCATTCCTGTGTGTGCGTAAAACTCGGCTTTGGGCTTGAATTTTTCCCCATATCTTTTATTTTCCTGGGCCGCCACTCACGTTTCATTTTCCGCCACGACTTTTCATTCAATTCTGAAATGCTTATTTTCGGCATTTAGCGAGCAGTTCACTTTCACATTGAATATCGACATATATACATATATATTTCCCGATTGAAATTTTCGATTGGCACCACAGCCAGTGTGACCGCCGCTACAATATACCATCTGGGCATGGATCAATATACCAGGGCGGCGGGCAGCGCAATTATACCAAAAATACCATTTTATTCAAATAAGATTTCGTTATTTTAGTATTTTAAAACAACTTGCAGACTTTGGCGGTTATTTTTTTTTATTTCCGGTAAAAAGATGAAACCTTGACAAAATCTACTTAAAATAGCATATTTCCTCGAATTTAATGCATAAACATACATGCGGGATGAGCGCACAGTCGAGCACACTCCACAAGTAAGGGGGAAGCTTAAGCAACTTAAATCTTATCAGCCGGCCAAAGCACGGCTCTTTGATAAGGCTGGCTAGTTCTGTAGTTCCACGCATTTAGTTTAGAGAAATAATATTAATATTAAATAACATTTTTAAGCTTACTGAACACCTTAAGATCCAAGATGTTGTAAGTATTTGATACAATAAATCAAATATTTAAATAATCAATCCCCCTTTCAGAGGCAGAGGCTGCAAGATCAATGCCATGTGCTTTCTTATCTTGGCAGTAGCTGCAGTTGGCGTGACCAGCCAGGAGGAGCCCCGTCGGATGGGTGCCGTGGTCTCCAACGGCATAGGCTGTGCCGAGGTGGGTGGCAACATCCTGGATATCGGAGGATCCGCAGCGGATGCCGTCATTGCCACCATGCTTTGTGAGGAAGTAGTGGTACCTCATGCTCTGGGCATTGGTGGCGGCTTTGTGGCCACAATTTACACCAAGGAAACGGGCTCTATGGAGTCTCTAATTGCCCGTGAAACAGCCCCGGCGGCTGCCAAGCAGGATATGTTCATGGGACGGGAGGAGGTGTTCACGGGAGCCATTGATAGTGGAGTTCCTGGTCAGATCTATGGTTTGGCCAAACTACATGAAAAGTATGGTCGGCTACCCTGGAAGAGTCTATTCCAGCCCGCAATCAATCTTTGCCGGCAGGGTATTGAGGTTTCCGAAAATCTGTCCGCTGCCCTTGTAAAGCGTAAGAAATACATCTGGAGTAGGGCCTCACTGGCCGAGATCTTCATTAATCCCAAGACGGATAATATGTATAGGAAAGGTGAGATCATGTACCGTCACAGGCTGGCCAACACACTGGAGATCTTGGCCGAGGAAGGCGCTCAGGCTATTTACGGAGGCGGCAGCTTAGGACGAAAGCTGGTCGAGGACATCCAGGAAATGGGCGGCATCATCACCGAGGAGGATCTGAAAAGATACAAGTGAGTTGCGGGGCGAAACTGTTGATGAATCCTTTCAAGACATTTCATTTTTATATACCTCTCTCTTTTCTCATAAGTGTTCGCTGGGAACGCCCTCTGCACAGTCGCTTTCACGGCTACGAGCTATACACATCTCCATTGCCCACCAGTGGCGCTGTGCTCATCTTCATCCTGAACGTAATGGAGCCGCTGTTTACAAACAACACGGACATCTACTGGCACCGACTGATCGAGACCTTTAAGCATGCCTATGGTCGTCGGTCCAATTTGGCCGACATACACTACGAACCAGATGTGCAGGAGATGTACGAGAACCTCATTAATCCGGCCTTTGCAGCTGAGATCCGTAGGCTGATCCGGGACAACACCACCTTTGAGGACTTGACCTATTATGGGGCAAATTTCACCAATGTTGAGGATCATGGGACGGCGCACATCTCCGTGCTGGCACCCAATGGAGACGCCATTTCGGTCACCAGCTCCATAAACGCTGATTTTGGAGCCAAGGTGCGATCCCGCCAGACGGGTATCATTCTCAACGGCCAGATGGATGACTTCAGCACGCCGGGAAAGATAAACTACTATAACTTACCACCCAACCCCTTCAACTACATCAAGCCCGGTAAGAGACCCCTCTCCTCCATGTGTCCCAGCATCGTGTTGGACTCGCACGGCAATGTAAAGCTGATTGTGGGTGGTGCCGGTGGTGCCACAATCACCACCACGGTGTCCCAAACAATTCTCAAGTATTTGGTCCTGCACGAATCCATCGAAGATGCTGTAAATGGGCCTCTATTACATCACCAACTGGTGCCAATGATAATCAGTACGGAGCATGAGCTGAACAACCATACAATCGCCCATCTAGAGGCCATGGGTCACCGTGTGAAGTTTCAACTATTGCAGCACTCTGCCCAGACGGCCATCGGAGTTACGGACGGAAAGCCAGAGCCAGTCTGTGATCAAAGGAGATACGGGAGTGTTGTGGTCGTAAAGCAACCAAAGCTCATAGAATGAATCAAATTTAACGGCCAGTTGGAAATTTTGAATCTCCTCTGAAATAAATACCAAGGGGCAAAAAAATACCAAAACAGTGCTGCCAGAAGGTGTCATTATTGTCAGTTATTTTTAAAATCAACGTCTACAATTAACTGAAATTTCAATAAAATCGAATTATAAGCATTATTTCAACTATTAAATATATGAAGGGTACAAAGTTCAGCAACCATGATTCTTTATCGAGTGCTGTTAAGCGCTCAATCATTGATATTAATTAATTTTTTCTGTTTCGCCGTCGACAAATGCCTATTTTTAGTGAAGAAAAACATTGGCATTCCTTTCCGATCCCACACTTGTCTGCAGATCGACCTTAAATCGTTGGTTTATCGCCACCTGCCCATTATCTCAATAAATATATATATATAAAATATATAATTAAGACTAAAATTCGGTTTCTTTGGTCGCCGCCGGCTCTTAGTCAGCCATAGTTGGCTTGACAGCTCAGGAAACTTTCTATTTTCAGATAGGTATGACGTATCAAAAAGTCCATGGCAATGGATTCGGTTACGGATATGGATATGGATATGGATGTCTTGTCTTATCGTATTAATATATAGATAACCGGATGGATATATAAGGCGCTCGTTTCGGTCCGATGGCCATTGATAGTAGGCGGCTGCTATTGCCGCAATAAATCTATATACATTTTTTTAACCATTTTAAGTCTTCAACTCCAATTTAAATTTAAGTTAATAGCCCTAAGGATACTCATAAAACAACAAAGTCTGCAAAAAATGCTGTAAGTAGAAAGGATATCAAAATTTTTTTGGAAGTTGTCAATGATAAAGTGAAATCTGAAGTAAACCCAAGTATTCTTCTTTCTCGAATCTTTAAAAAAGGAAATGAATTAGGTTTATTGAATATAACAAATATCCAAGAACTTTTAAACTAAAATATCCAGATTTAAAGATATAGAAATATAATCAAACAAGAAAGGAATCTAACTTCGAAAAGCCGAAATGAGTCTACCATTGCACTTAACCATAGGATCATAGGTTCCAATGTAAACTATCATAACTAAGTCAAAAATCCATTAAATTCAATTCGGAAAGCTGTCCTTTGTTAATTTTTATCAGGTTAAAAAATCTGAATACTCAGTTTAAAATGTAAAAAATTCAAAATTTTGATACATTTTTCAAAATTTTAACTTATAAAATTTAAAAAAAATGTCGACAATTTTTTTTCTGTCTGAGACTGCTAGATAGATTTGACTGATGACGCTGATCAAGAATAATATGGTGTAATGATTGCTTCACTTAGTTTTAAGCTCCTGACTGAAATTAAAATACCCTGCAAGGGTATTAAAATAATAAACAAGTCTCTGGGAAATGGTGAAGTTCATGCAGCCTTTGCAATCATTGTCCAAAAATTAAGTATATATAGTCTATGAAAAGCCTGTATTAACCAAATTCCAATATCATGCTCTATGTGGAGTTATTTGACGCCTTCGGTGACCTATTAATCGGGTACGAGACCGAGATGGCAAGTGTCCCGCCGTCTCTCCTGCCCCATCCTGCAGCACTAATCTCTGACTATCCGTCTCTATCTCTTTCCCATCCTGTCCAGCTGTTGCAAGAAATATGCCGTTTGCTGGATAATCCTGGCGGTTGCCGTGGTGGGCGTTACCGTGGGCCTGGTCTTTGGACTTCGTGGCAAGACGGAGGAGCCCCGTCGGATGGGTGCCGTGGCCTCCAATGGCATGGGCTGTGCCGAGGTGGGTGGCAACATTCTGGATATCGGAGGATCTGCGGCAGATGCGGCCATTGCCACCATGCTGTGTGAGGGCGTTATGCTGCCACATAGCTTGGGTGTGGGCGGTGGCTTTGTGGCCACCATATACTCCAAGGAGACGGGATTCATTGAGACGCTGATTGCTCGGGAAACGGCGCCGGCAGCATCAACCCAGGACATGTTCGTGGGACGTGAGATTACCGGTGCCATTTCCAGTGCAATTCCCAGCGAGATTTTTGGATATTCCAAGCTCCATGATAAATATGGTCGGCTGCCGTGGAAGATGCTCTTCCAGCCAACGATTGATCTCTGTCGACGCGGCATCGAGGTGTCCCGGTATCTGGCCGGTGTCCTCGAGCGTGAGGAGGAGCGCATCAGGAAAGAGCCCTCCATGGCCGAGATCTTTATCAATCCGAAGACAGATAATGTGTACAAGCAGGGCGAGATTATGTACCGTCACCGGCTGGCCGAGACCCTGGAGATTGTGGCCGATGAGGGTGCCCAGGTAATATATGGCGGCGGCAGGGTGGGCCGGAAGCTGGTCGAAGATATTCAAGAGATGGGTGGAATTATCACCGAGGAGGATCTGCAGAAATATGAGTAAGTTTTGTGGATGCTGGCGATCCATTCTCCAAGAGATCTCAACTGGTTTCTCGCTCTCTCTACCTCCTTTAGTGTTCGTTGGGAGCTGCCACTTCATTCCCGCTTCAATGGTGGCTACGAACTGTTCACTTCACCGCTGCCCACCAGCGGAGCTGTGCTCACCTTCATCCTGAACGTGATGGAACCGCTTTTTACAAGCAACACGGACAAGTATTGGCAGCGCCTCATCGAGACTTTCAAGCATGCCTACGGTCATCGGACCAATTTGGGCGATATACACTATGAACCAGATGTCCAGGAGGTGTACGAGAACCTTATTGATCCGGCCTTTGCAGCAGAGATCCGGAAATTAGTCCGTGACAATACCACTTTCGAGGATATGTCCTATTATGGAGCGAATTTCACCAATGTGGAGGATCATGGCACGGCGCATATTTCCGTGCTGGCACCCAATGGTGATGCCATTTCAGTGACCAGCACAATTAATAGCCATCTGGGGCCAAGGTGCGGTCTCGCCAGACAGGTATTATACTCAACGATGAGATGGATGACTTTAGCACACCGGGTAAGGTTAACACCTATGGGATACCCGCTAGTCCGGCCAACTACATTAAGCCGGGCAAGCGGCCCATTTCCTCCACCTGTCCCAGCATCGTTCTGGACACGCATGGCAATGTGAAGTTAATTGTGGGCGGTGCCGGTGGCTCTAAGATTACCACTTCGGTGGCTCAGACCATTCTCCGGTACTTTGTGCTCAACGAGCCCATCGAACGGGCGGTGAATGCCGGTCGACTGCATCATCAACTGGCACCGATGACGGTCGATGTGGAGCCGGATGTGCCAAGGCATACGGTGGCCTATCTGCGTGCCATCGGGCATGAGGTGAATTTCCTGGAGAACGACAAGGCCTATTCCGCCCAAACGGCCATTGGGATAATGAGCAGTGAGCCGCATCCTGTCTGCGATCGCAGAAGAGTGGGCAGTAGTGCCGTTGTCGTGGAACCGGAGAGATTGGATTGAGTCCGGAAGCATACATAGATCACTCATTATTGCGAACGATAGCCATGTCTACATACATACATCAAACCGAAATTCTTAAGATAAATCTAATGTATATATTATTGTATTCACATCACTAAATCTTGTTTCTATATATTAAGTTCTTCGTTTATAAATCCATTTTGTTTTGTTAACTATTAAAATTATGAATTGTTCTTAGGAAAAGTTCCTTTTTAAATCGTTTTGGGGTGCAAAAGTATTAATCCTAATCCTAAAAACAAAAACTCTGCTAATAGTGAGAATGATATATATATCCCCCATTTAATCCCATTGGATTTCTTTTCCATGACAGCAAGATTATTCTATTTATTATATAAAATATATAAATAGTGAAAAACAAGAAGGGAAACTCACTTCGGGAAGCCGAAGTTTATATACCCTGCCAGCTTGAAATTAAATTATTGGATCGAATCGGGAACTAAACTAAGCTAACTAAACTTCAAGTATTAGCATTTTTTGAATTAATATTTATTGATTTTTTAATGTGACAATTTTGTCGAAAAATCAAAGTTTAAAAAACTCATAACTAGGCCAAAAATGCATTAATTTTAATTCGGAAAGTTTTCTTATGTTAATTTCGATTAGGTTAATAAATCTGCATACTCAATTTAAATTCTTAAAAAATTTAAATTTTTGTCAATTTTAACGATGTAACCCCTTTCCTTTTTTAAAAAAATGGGAAATTTTTGAAAAAAATTATTTTTCTGCCGGAGATGGCTATAAAGATTCGCCTGTTGATGCTGATCAAGAATATATATGATTTATAGGGTCGGAAATGGCTCCTTCACTTAGTTTAAAGCTTCTAAAATTACGAAAACTTTGATTTTAGAAAATTGAGAAAATAGACATCAATTTTAATTCATCATACAAAATTTTAAAATTATATTTTAATAATTAGAGTTGAATGAACATCAAACAATTGTTCAATAAAAATTGTTCAATGAAAAGCCATTGACAAAAATTAGATCTTGGCACATAAAAGCATTAAAAAATATAATTTAATTTAATTTTTAATATTAATATAAATATTTTGTCGATTACAAATCGATTATTGCAAGTATTGACCTGAAAATCTTTAATTTTAGAAACTTAATCTGGAAAAATATCAAGTTTTCTGAATTTAAAATCAAATTTTGCATCTAATAATATAAAACCCTTTAATTTTTTAGCTCTACTAATAGGTGCCACAAAAAATGTGCAAAAGTTTATTGAGACGTTGAATTTATTGTATAAATAAAGCATTTTCGGGTCTAACCAAAGGGTGTCTGTATGTCTGTTGGAATAAGTGATGTCCGGTATTTTGGTATAAGGGATTACAAACTCCCAGGTGTTATTATATATGATATAAATATATATTATATTATATATGAATAAACCTGGGAGTGTAAACAGGCTTTTGTAGAGTGAGACGGGGGAAATGCAAATCACAAATGCACGCAAGTCAAGGCCACAAATTATATTATTTTGCGGGTTCGTAGACCTGCAGGTCATTTGCCCTGCCTTAATAGAGTGTATGTGTGGCATTGGTTTGCGTTTCATCGAATTCCAAATGAAATTAGGTATGATAAAATATGTATGAGTATGTACCTGGATTGTGTGCTCTGTGGTTGCCCTCGCCTGTCCTGGGCGTGTCCTTATACCAAAACACTTATTTCAAATTATAATGAATATCATTTCCGGGTGTAAAATAACGTCAACAGGCACAAGGCACAGGTCCTGCTGATTCAGCGTCGATCTGGTGCATACCCACTGGCGACGGCCATTCGCCAGTTGAGATAACGCCGCACAGTTCGCAATTGGATTAAGGTTTCTTGTTTGAGATTTACATGTGGAAAAGGTGGTCATCTAGTCATCATCGGAATCATCGTCGAGGCGTTTGCTTCGCTTTCTGGCCATTTTTTGCTTTTTGTGCATCGCCTCCTTGCGCATGTCTTCGAGATCTTCTTGCAGGCCTGCGCTCAAAAGAGAATTAAAGGAATTAATTCTATGTTTTTGCCAGTTTCCTGTAAGAATAATTACCCAGCTTTTGGCTTATAAGCTCTTCGCGTTGCATTTGTGCGAAACTAGACTCCATATCGCGGTCATCGTCGTCTTGATCCTTATAACGCCGCCTATCATAGCCAAAGATACTGCGAATGTGCGAAGATATATCCTCCTCGCAGTCGCCGTCGTCAATAAAGTCGTCAAGCTCGGAATCGTATTCGGAATCATCGTCGCAAATGCGTCCTTTGGAAGAGAAATTTATAAGGTTTATATCGGTATATTCATATCCCTTATCCCCGGTACTTACTTTTATTGCCACTTGGCTGTTGTTTGCCCGGCCTGCCTTTGGCATCCACAGGCGCTATTTTTGGTTTCTTAGCCAAAGTTCCCGACCCCGCAGGACGATCTCTGGGCGGAAATTCGCGCACAGCCCCGTTCTTAACGGCCGCAGCATAGGGATTGCGAGAGAGTGGCGGCATCTTGGAGCTACTGCCACTGGAGCTGGGCTTTTGCGCTTGAGCCGCAGGCTTGGATCCCACGGAAGCGACTGTCTTACTATTATTGCTGCTGCTGCTGCTGGAGAGCTTTGTACTTGCTACAGGATTACGATTGCTAGAAGGGGAATGGGAACTTTGGGAGGCGCTTGGGTTTGAGCTGGCGCTGGAGCTTGAGGCTTTAGCTGGTAGAGGGGCGGGCCGCTTGAAGGTAGCGATCGGCGCTTTGGCTTTAGCATCGGTGCTGGCTGGTGAGGTCTTTGTCGGACATAGCTTCGGTATGCGTCCGTTGGGCTCCATACGGTTGGGTCCCTGGCTTGGCTTTGGCTTGTTCTCGCCGCCGCTCTCACGCAACTTGTCGCGCTGTGCACGCTCTTCTCTGTAACGCTGTCGCTCCTCCGCTTCGCGCTTCTCTTTGGCGGAGAGCAGCCTCTCTGGTTCCTTCTTCTTCTCTGGCTGAGCAAAGACCACCGGCTCGTGCTGCTTCTTTTCGGCCAGACGGAGCAGAGCCTGAAAGTCCATGGGCGGCGCCTGAGCTACACGCTTCAGCTTTGCTCGGTTCTGCTGTTCGGCCAGGCGTTTCTTGTTCTCCTCTTCACGCTTTTCCGCCTCGGGATCGTACAGGGTCTTCGAGGAGGCACGAAGCAATTGGGACTTGGTGGAGCCGGAGCCGGAGCCGGAAGCTGGCTTGGATGTGCCGGTGCTGCTGCTGCTGCTATTAGTGTTTGTGCCGCGCTTTGCACGTGTGTGTGACTCGGCGTCCTGGCGCTCCCGATCGATGGCTGCCTTGACACGCTCTTTGGTGCCGGAGAGGTCGCGCAGCGACTGCGGTCGGCTGGGAGCAAAGCTCTTATTATCCTCTACATGCTGCACCTTCGCAAGGTACTTCTCGTACAGGGCATTCGCCTCGTTGGACGTGTAGCCATAGTCATCACCCTGGCCCTCGCCAGTCTCGTGCTCCGCGCCGGTGCCACTGCAATCGTTTAGCACTGACTTGTTGGCCGACTTGGTCACCTTTAGCATCTTGCGAATCTTATTCTTTGACTTCTCATCGCGCTTGGCCATCAGTTCGGCAACCTTTTGGTTCTTCTCGCGCCGCTTCTCCGCCTCCTCGGCTTCCTTCTTCTTGAGGAACTTCTGGATGTTGTTGGAAAGTTGTTTACTTTCCTTGCTCACCTTCTTGGGCGGCGAGTATTTAGTGTTATAGAACTTGCCATCCAGCTGCTGCTGGAAGACACCAGAAGGCACAGAAAGCGCGCACATGGTTAATTCAGTGTGGAAAACAGGGAAAGCACCAGGGGATTGGGGTCAGACAGCGACCCTGTTGATTCACGGCACAAGGGTGACCCTACCAGCTGGAAGAGGATCCCGGTGATTGCTACTCACCTGTTCCTTGGTCTCGTCGACCTTCTTCTTGGCAATGTGCAGCAGCGCCCCGAAATCCATGCTGGACCGTCTTATTTCTCTCTAAGAATTAGCAATAAAAAATGTTTTTGTCTGACAGCTAGTTGAATATCAAAATATCATTATATCGATAATTTTCTCAAATTGATGAATAAATATCGATACTATCGTGAGTGACCAACCAGCAACGCTTGCATCTTGGATTTGTTTTTTGAGAATTTAGTCGAGAAAACTGTATAAAAAACTTGCTGATTGTCCATCAATTAGCCATGTCCACCGATCCCGAGCCAGTGGCTAGCGAGTGCGGCAAGTGCGGCAAGCCTAGCGTCCAGGAGAGCACCAGCCCCGATGCGGAATCGGAAGGCAACGACGAAAGCCAGGCTGCGACGGCTTCTACACCTCCTCTGCCATCGTGCTGCTGCTCCCAGGAGGACGAGGTAGAGGCGGCCTTAAAGCGCGACTCCACCGAGGAGGTGCTCATGGATATAGACAACGATTTGACCACTAATGAGCGGATGCCGACTGTGGACGAGCTGGAGTTGGAGCAGCCTACAGCCAAGCCCAAGCTGAAGCCCATGGAGGTTGTAAAGAAGGAAAACGAAGAAAAATTGCTGGTGGAGCCAGAAGAAAAGCAGCCCTTATCCGAGGAGCCGCCAACGAGGGCTCCCCCCAGTCCGACAGCCATTAAAATCGAAGAGGAGGAGGAGCAGGAGAAACGCAAGGAAAAGCAACAGCAGATGCAGGAACAGCAGCTGCAGTCTCCGGAGGAAATGCCGCCCAGCTCACCGGAGGCGCCGCCAAATCCCAGCCAGCGTGTTGGCAAGATAACGCGCAGCAGCCTAAATGGCAACCAGTCTTCCGCAAGAACTCCGGCCATTATGAAGCGTCTGCGGAAGAGCACACGCTTCAAGGCGAAACCAACAGGCGGCCGTGGTAATTCCGCCTCCGGGAACAGCAGCCAGGCTAATGGGCACAACAATGGTCCCAATAATGGGGCCTCCGGCAGCTCTACACATCTCGCAAGCGCCGGTGCCCATCCGAGTAATACTAACAAGCACGGCAAATCGGGACCGGGTGGGCCCGGCGGCGGTTCTCCGGCCGCACGCAATCGACGGGCACTGTTTAAGAGACCGGCCCAAAAGACGCCCAAAGTGCAGGCCAGCACGAGATTCGTGAAAAGCGTCTTTTACAAGGGCAGCTACATGCAGATTGGTGATATTGTGAGCATCGTAGACGGGGAACAGAATCTGTACTATGCCCAGATCCGGGGACTCTTGGTGGACGCCTATTGCGAGAAATCGGCCTTCCTCACCTGGCTGATACCAACGCAGGACAGCCCGGATCCGCAGGAGGGCTTTGATCCGGCCACCTACCTAATAGGTATGTCTGTGAATATCTTTGGATCCCCTTGTGGATTAATCCCTTTGCTTCATCTCCTTCCCAGGGCCCGATGAGGAGCTCTCGCGCAAGCTCTGCTACCTGGAGTTCGTGATGCATGCGCCCAGCAACTACTATTTCGACCGGAGCACGCCCTTCCCGCTACCAGATGCGGACGAGTATACTGCCCAGAGATCGGGTGGGTTTATTTGGACGCGGTTACCGGTGGTGAAGCGGGAGAAGGGGGATCGGGAGAGAGAGACGCGGGGTCGGGACTCGGCCAGCAAGGCAAGTGGAACCTCCTAGCAGGAAGGGGGAATGGGCATGGGTTCCAGTGGGAAGAAGAAGAAGAAAAAGTCCAGGGCCAGAGTGCTGAATTTGAATAATCTAATTTATTGAGTGGAATGAAACGAAAAAGAAAATATAGAAAACAAAGTATAAAAGTGTGTAAAGTGAAAACAAATGTTTTATTTTCAAACCTGTATTGTACGCTATAGATCCCTCTTCACATTCTTTAAGAAAACAATGTTTTCCGTGAAAAATAAGCAATAGTATTTTATAGAAACTTTTAAATATAAAAAAATAAATACAAATCGCTTTTTATGGGTAATAAATTAAGTTTTTTTTAGAATATAATTGTAGACCTTTGCATTTACCTTATAAACATATCAATAAATAACAATGATTGTAAGATTTATTTAATTTATATTTATAAATGCAAAAATATAAATTAGGGAAATTTACGATTAAAATTTGTTTGAAATTCGTATCACAAATATACCTAATATAATTATCGATAAATAGACGAGAGAATAAAATACTAGAAAGTTCATTATCAAGGCACAAGCTGCTAGGCCAAACTTTTAGTATTTCGCCTCTCGCTCTCTCCTACAGTTCATTCCAAATAAATGTCTAAATTACAAACTACCTTCAGCTCAATGATTTAATTTGTACAATTTTAAGATATATTTAGTTCCAACTTGAGTAAACATTTTTTCAATGGCAATGACTGCGAAACGAAAAGCGGGAAAATACCTGTAACGGCTCGGTGTGACCAGATTAGCATAACATTTTGGTGCCGGATGGCAGGCAGTCACGGTCACACTGGTTGCATTTCGTCCAAAGTTTGCACTTTTATGTCTTTTGTTTGTGCACGTGCAGAATAACATATAGATGCGCCGCAACTGAGGCTAGCGGACCTGCCGTACGACAGTGGACAGCGGTTGCAGTTAGCTCTTGATAGCGGCCGGCCATGGATCAATTCTCGCACGACCTAACGGTGGCCCTCGAGGAGACCTCGCTGATGGACAGGGCAAGTGGCGTCGGTAGGTGGGGCTCGCGTCGCAGGACACGTTCCACGGGCAATTTGCGTAAGTAGCCGGAAAGTGTGTGCAATGGCCCATCCCCAAGCCCACTAACAACCAAATACTTGCCCAGCCTGCGCCCCCCAGCCCACGGAGGACTCCTCGAGCAGTCCCACGGATACGCTGAATGCCCTGGGCCACCACCATCAGCAGCAACACCACCACCATCACCATCATCACCACCCAAGTGCTAACGTGGACGGCCTGGACACACACAACCTTAAATTGCCGGCCAGCGACTCGGACGAGATGGCGGAGGCTATGTTGCCACTGCGATGGCTGCTGCGTCCGGGCGCCCTGGAGTCGGATTCGCTCAACGAGACCACCTTTAGTCCGGCCAGGTTAGCTCTTAGCTTCTGCTGCTGCTTTGAACTGTTCTTAAACTCATTATATATCTCACACAGATTTTACAAACCCAATTCACGACGGAAACGAAAGATCAAACGCATGTCCATGGAGTTCGAGTTCAGCAAGGACACACCGCACAGCTTCACGGAGTCGCCGCTCCAACCGGGCATGCTAAGTGCTACGGGCACGGCCACTGGTACCATACGGAAGCGCCTGCTTAAGGCGGACGGTCATCGATCACATCTGTTCTTTTGCGGGAAACGCAAGCGCTCCAATCGCGATCGGTATCACGAGCAGGAGACGGGTAAGCTGTACACCTCGCCACATACCACGCATATAATGGATATGGAGCAGCAGCACCAGCAGCAGCAGCGGATGCGCCCGAGAAGCTACTCCTCGACTTCGAAGCCCCTCAGCGATCGCCTGCTGCCGCTGAACAAGGGGCTGCTCTCAAAGATAAACCGCATGGCTGCCCAGGGACAGCAACAGGCCATGCCCAACCAAAAGACTGACAACAAGGAGTTAAAGGGCAGGCAGGCGGATGACGCAAAAGCAGGCCAAGAGATGGAAGATGACCTGGAGCTGCTGTCCAAGGCAAAAGATAATGCAAAGGAACTGCCAACGCTGCCGCCGCCGGCGTTAACTACCGAGGTCCCGTCCGAAGCCAATTTGGACTTTTTCAGCATGGACACTATTGTGCCGGTGACCGATATCGATGCTTTGCTGCTTAGCACACCGCCCTCCGCTCCGCCGCTTCTGCGTAAGAAGACACCAGCTCCCTCCTCCTCCACCAGCAAGACACACCGTCGTCGTCGGTTTCAAACGCTTCCACAACCTCAACCCTTGTCTCAGACGCACACCCAGTCCATGGACTGCAGCGAATTGTACGACTTTCTGAGCTCCAGCTCGCTAAGCTCCTCCTCCGACAGTGAAGCAGATGTGGGCCATGGTGGCCATCGGCGGCGCCATGACACGGATCGCGAGGGCGATGATGAACTCACCGATTGGCCGGGCAACGAGTTTGGTCCCGGTGCCAGGTACGATCCGAAACGGAAGCTGACAAAAAAATCGCTGCTGCCGCAAATTCGATCCGACGACACCATTGGCGAGGACGACACCCTTATGTCGGGCACCGAGGCGGGTGCCATGGGTGGTGGTGGAGGTGGTGGCATAGAACCGCCACCGAAATCACCCGAATCTCTGCAGGATTTGCCACGCTTCCAGCTACCAAATGCCGTCGTCGCCTCCTCGGAGCCCATCGATATTCTGAATGCCGGCTGTGAGATGGAAACAAATGCAGATGGCAGTGGCATCATGCCGGCGCCACGTCAAATCGAAAGTGAGATGTCGGGCGAAACGTCTAATCCGTTTCTATCCTCATCGCCCCCCGGCCAGCACCAGGGACAGGAGGTGCGTGAAATTCGTGCGGGCTGCCGGCGCATAAACGGGGAACGAGCCGGGTTCAGCATCAAGTTGAGCGTTAATGAGCGTCTGGCCAGGTTTCTACAGGATCCGCGACAGACCCAAATCCGACTGCCGGATGTTGAGCTTTACGAGCCCGATGGCAATCTCGGCAACCTGGCCACTCTCTACTCCCTCACCATGCTGGTGGAGCATGGCTGCACGGTGCTGACCAAGACCAGGTGCGTGGTAAACCTTAATTACTCTCAAAAGTTGCAACGTTTTGTAATAATTCGGCTTTTATATTGTTTTTTTAGGAACACCACGCAATCGGTTAGCGTGGATCACTTCCAGCGTGGCCTTCAACAGCCGCCGCCCGATCTCTTTGGCGACTTCAAGCGGCGCTGTTATGGCGAGGAGGAGCAACAGGAGCCGCAGGATCCTGACCACAAATGAGATCCCCCAAGACCCCGAACTAGACCAATCCCTAGCGAATGCTGCTGACAAGCCAGTGCGTCCCCCATATCGAAGTACAACTCCGTGGGGCAAACTGGAGTCTTGTTTCGCTTCGGTGGAAAAAAAGTCTTAGATTAAGAAGAATTTTAGCCCGTCTTTTTTTTTATTTTTTTGTTGTGTCGTTTATGCACCATGTCCGTTGTATATACTGAATGAATGTCTAGGTTTCGCACATGGTGTCTGATTTCTCTGGTTCCTTGGATCACAGATCTTGGAATCGGAGTTAACGGCCCACTTGGAAACGAGCGAGAGGTCCGATCGAAAGCCGTTGGCAGCCTTTTTCGCTGTACAAAATATATTAATGTTTAAGATCTTAATTGAATATGAATATATATGTATATACACATACATGAATATATATATATATATATATATATATATATATATGTATTATGTGAACCATCTTTTCTATTGGCTTATTACGTGGACTTTGCAGAGCTCCCAATATTATATATAAAGATTTACTTTTAATTGCAAGATTTAAAATCGAAATAGAAGAATATTGTATTATATATATATAATCCTGCAGGAATAACTATACAGGGATGTCGAAGAAATCGCAGAGGTTTTTAATTATGATGTATATCGTGATTAAAGGTCCGAAATGAAAACGAACAAATTGTAAACTTTGATATATGGAAATTTAAATGATATATTTAATGTTGAAATATCGATGTTATTGAAGAATATTTAAAAAATTGTATTTAGATATCAGTCTAAAGATCGATATATGGATAAAATTCATTTGAAATGCCCTAGAAAAGAACATTTTACGACTTGACTTAATTTTAAACAGATTTTTATATGAATTTAATTTAATTTAAATTATTTAAGCGATTTCTGTGACAACCCTTATATATACTTAAGGATGCTTTCAAAATGTCAATTGTTTTATTCAAGCATTTAGTGAAATTATGTGAAAAAAGAAGCGTTTTTATTTAAATTCTCTTGTAAATATATGTACCATTGGTTGTCATATTAAAAACTTGTTATTTTCTTTCCGAATGCCTTTAAAAATATTCTTAAAAATATAATGTAATTATATTTAAGTTTAAATTTATTTTAATTCCTTGCTGGAAGTGTTTAAATTTAATTTCTCATCAGTTCACACGACTTTCCTTGAAGATGGCGCGGAAATTTTTGAATACTCCGCCTGGGAAATTCCATAAGTTTCCCGCTGCGCGTAAGTTGGCGCATGCCCAGTGGGCCCCCAAGTGGTGGCCCAGCACCGGCATGCTCGGCAACCCTTTTGGACATACTCTCGGCGGCACTCGGAACGCACTCGCTTGGCACTTGGCAACCCTCGCTGCCTGCCTCTCTGGGGATTCGGTCTCGGGTAAGCGGACGAAGAGCGGGGGTGGCATACCAAATAGCAGCAGCGGGAGCGTCAAGCGTCAAGCTTGCGGACGCCAGTTGGACGCAGCTCGGGACTGGAGGCAGCCACGTTTCCCCAGCAGCAGCAGCAGCCATCCCATCTGTGTGTCGCATTGCCGCGAGTCGAGTGAGTGTGTGTGCGCCGTGCTGTGCCGTGCCGCATGTGTCCGCGATCCGCGAACGGGATGTGGATGTGGATGTGTCTGTGCGTGTGGTCACCGTCTTCTCCGTCTTGGTCTTCGTCGTTCATCCTCATAGCCATTCGATCCGGACGCAGCATTAGTAAATCTGCGTATCATTTTTGTTAACCCGCCGGCTCTCCTCTGTTTTTCTACGCTCCCTACACACAACTAACGGTAATTTTGTGCAATTGTGTGCGTGCGGCTTACTCCTTTGGCCAGTGTTGCAGCTCCTGACTGCAGCTGCTGCTGCTCCTGCTGCACTGCATCCTTCGACTAAGAACTGGCAACGGTGTGGTGTGTATGGTGGCTTTGAGAGCGCCTGGCCAAGGCGAGAGATTTCCGCGATGCGATGCCCCCGCTCTGCTCTGCTTATTGATTTTTCACCAACCCACACACACATACACGCAGGCAGGCAAACACCCACACACACACACGCGCGAGAGCACCCACTCTCGTAAAGAGCAGTGCTGCCAACTCAGCCGTTTTGCGCATCGGAAAACTAGCCATTTTGAAAGCGGAAGTGCCAGCAGCCATTTGCAGCCATATTGCAAATTTTGTTTCCTGTTTTATCAATTGAAGTTTACTTTTTGGAGGAGATGTGAGAGGGTTAAGAGTTTTTAAATATAATTTCTTTAAATCTGTTTTTTTTATAGCAATTCTGTCTTAATGTCTTGGTTTAAATATTTTATTTTAATTAATTATACCATTATCAATGACATACTAAGGTTTGACAGGTTTAAATCCAATTTAAAGTTGAGATTCTATTTCAAGGATTATTTTGTGGAAGAAAAACCTTTTGAAGGTAACAGATAAACACTTAATTTATTGTTATTTTTAGTATTTGCTTAAATTCCTAGCCATTTGTTTCTAGTAGCAACACTAGCAAAGAAAAAGCAGCCACGAGAGAGAGAGAAAGCTAGAAGAGAGCGCATACCCATACGCAAGCACAGTGGCTTTGTAACAGCAGACACACACACAGGCATACATACACCCACAGATAGCTGAGCTAATCTCTTATCAAGCGTCGACTGTCCCACCTCCGCCCCCTCTAAGCCAAACCCTCCCTCCCCTCCCTCCCTCATTTACATCGGGGGAAAAAATCAAAATTAGTCATAAACTTGCGTATCACTTTTAGGACCTCAAAAATTAAAGGATATATATTTTGTTTATTATATCTATATATATATTTCACTGCAGAGATAAACTAGAAATTTAATAATTATTTTATGTTGAATTTAAAACAGTATTTACTGCGTCAGGTGTAAATAGAGGTTTTATTTTTTACTTTTAGCTGATGTCAATGGTTTTAAATTCAAGTAAACAAGAAAAATATAAAAATAAATTCATAGTGTATTACTAAATATATTTTTTATGGAAAATCTGCCAAGATAATGCCAAGAATATATACAATAAACTAAGACAAGAAAAGAAACCAGCTTTTTGAAGCCTTGCAGATTGAAACTAAATTATAGAAAATTATAAATTATATTCTTTAAATCAATATTTAAATATTGACATTTTTATATGAAAATTTTTTTCGAAAAATCGAATTTTCAAAATCTCATAACTCAGCCAAAAAAGCATTAAATTTTATTCGGAAAGCGGTCCCATGCTAGTTTTTATTAGGTTAATATATCTGTATACTTAATTTATAATTTTAAAATATTCGATTTTTTGCCAATTTTTGAAAATTTTAACGATGTAACCCCTTTAATTTTTTTCAAAAAATTGAAATTTTTTTTTTTTGCCAGAGGTAACTAGATCGATTCGCCTATTAATGGTGGTCAAGAATATATATGATTTTTAGGGTCGGAAATGACTCCTTCACTTACTTTTTACTAAATTTATAGTACCTTTCCAAGGATATAAAAGTCCCTTGAAAGTATGCTGCAAAAAAGCATTGCCTACTTTTAAGGACATTTTACGTTCATTTCAAATGACTCGGTGTCTGAATATTATTTCCTTTGTATTAATTATACATTTTTTATCCTTTTTCTCCGGCTTCAGGAGCACTGCCATGGGCCAGGAGGTGCTGGCTTTCCGGGCATTCCCTGCATGCTATGCCAGCATGTGCCTCATCATCATCCTCTCGCGAATGTCGCTACCAATCTCTCATCTCCGGCTCTGCCTCCTCTCGGTGTGAACTAGCTGGCCCGCCCGGAGTGCCGCAGTTGGAAAATGAGCACCTGCGAGACGGCGGCGGCGGCTGACGAGGATTCCGCCACCAAGACCGAGGAGAGTCAGCCGCCGGAGGAGCAGAAGCATGAGAAGCTAGAGAAGCTAGAGAAGCTGGGCAAGCTGAGTGGCGGGAAGCAGGAGAAGCAGCAGCAGCAGGCCGCGGAGAAGCAGCCGCAGAATGGAAAGCCCGAGGCAGAGACCTTGGACAAGGCACAGCATCCCCAACTGGAGTCCATACGCAGCTCTGTCCTGCTGGATAGCAGTGCTGCAGCTCCGTCTATTGATGCCTTGGTGGCCTGCAAGGATGCCCTGCTGGCCCAGAAGCTATTTGCCAGCGGCGGGGCAACCCCTGGTCCCAGTCCCACAGCGAATTCTGGAGGAGCATCAGCAGGAGCAGGAGGATCTGGAGCAGCAGTAGGCGGCGGCTCTATGGGTGGTGTGAGTGGCAAGGAGCTGCTCAAGCTTAAGGAGCCCATGCGTGTGGGCTTCTATGACATCGAACGCACCATTGGCAAGGGCAACTTTGCTGTGGTAAAGCTGGCCCGTCATCGCATCACCAAAAACGAGGTGGCCATCAAGATCATAGACAAGTCACAGCTGGACCAGACCAATCTACAGAAGGTCTACCGTGAGGTGGAGATCATGAAGCGACTGAAGCACCCGCACATCATCAAGCTTTACCAGGTGAGAGGCCAAGGAGTTCGAAATGGAGCAACTTCTCACCTATGTTTACTCTACCCCCCAGGTTATGGAGACCAAGAACATGATCTATATAGTCTCGGAGTATGCCAGTCAGGGGAGATTTTTGGTAAGGATCTTTTAAGGATCGTACCCAGATCAGATCCTTTGTAATACATCTGATTCCTTTAAAGATTACATTGCCAAATATGGCAGAATGTCGGAATCGGCGGCCCGCTTCAAATTCTGGCAAATCATTTCGGCTGTGGAGTATTGCCACAAAAAGGGCATTGTCCATCGTGACCTCAAGGCCGAGAATCTGCTCCTTGATCTCAATATGAACATCAAAATTGCAGACTTTGGTTTCTCCAACCATTTCAAGCCGGGCGAACTGCTGGCCACCTGGTGCGGCTCACCGCCATATGCTGCACCCGAGGTGTTCGAGGGGAAGCAGTACACAGGACCAGAGATTGATATTTGGGTGAGTTGTCCAAATCCTGCTGCTTCCTGATATATATATATCCTATATAATGTATATTCTTGTAGTCCCTGGGCGTGGTCCTGTATGTCCTGGTCTGCGGCGCCCTGCCCTTTGATGGCTCCACGTTGCAGAGCCTGCGGGATCGTGTCCTCTCCGGTCGCTTTCGGATCCCCTTCTTCATGAGCTCCGAGTGTGAGCATCTCATCCGTCGCATGCTTGTGCTGGAGCCCACCCGTCGCTATACAATCGATCAGATCAAGCGTCATCGCTGGATGTGCCCGGAGCTGCTGGAGCATGTCCTTATTGCCAAATACAATTTGGGTGCCGAGCGGCAATCCTCGCTGGAGCCCAGTGAGGATATCCTAAGGATAATGGCCGAATATGTGGGCATTGGGCCGGATAAGACGCGGGCGAGCCTGAAGAAGAACACCTACGACCATGTGGCGGCCATCTATCTGCTCCTGCAGGATCGTGTTAGTCATAAGAAGGAGCAGAGCAATGGTTCCTCAGCGGCATCCTCCACCTCCATTGCTGCCTCCCAGCAGAGGCTGCTCTACAAGAGCACCAAGATTGACCAGCAGCAACAGCAGCAGCAGCAACCGCAGCAGCAGCAGCAATCCAAGACAATATCCACCAGCTCGATCCTGGCCAAGGATCAGGCCCACAAAAGACTTAGCCGTCATCAGACGGTGCTCATGAGTGACCGCCCTGTACCCGTGCCCGATCCCAGTCACTATTATGCCAAGTATTCGCCTCTCCAGCTGCCACTCCATGCCCACCTGGCGGGTTATCTAAATGGCAGTGGTGGTGGTGCTGGAGGAGTACCGGTGGAAGTGGAGCCCTCAACTGGTATACCCTTGCCCATGCGTTATACTCCCCTGCCAGCGGCTGTTTCACCGGCTCCCTCGAACTGCTCCTCAAACTCCTCGAGGATGGGACGCCATAGCCTGAGCTCCAATTCACCGCGAAGTCATCGCCCCGTGGCCATATCCCTTAGCATTGACAACAATCCCTCGCTGGCCAATCTCCGGTGCAGGGAGATGATGGAGGGACCAGGTGGAGGCGGAAGCGGAGCACCCGGTGTACCCTTGGTATCGAAGCAACTGCATCAGACCATCAGTGAGTACATCATCAAACAGAGCACCGAAGACTGCCGGCAGCTGCTGCAGCAGGTGAGTGATCCTCCAGAGTTCCAAGTGTTCCACATTCGTAACCACATTTCCACGTTTCAGTCCACAGCTGTGGCGGAGGGCAAGGAGGAGATGCCCAAGCTGCCGGAAACAGGAGCGGGACAGGGACAGGGAGCAATGCCCGCTACTGCTGCCAATGCTGGAGGATCAGGATCTGGTTCTGGTTCTGGTTCTGGCTCCTGCTCGGGCGAGAGCAACACCAAGACAATAAAGGCCATGTCCGGTTCGAGCAGCTTCGATTCGCAGGCCAATCTTGGCCAGAGCTTTCGCTACAAGATGTCCGCCGAGGCCACCAAACTGTTCCAGACCCTCCAAGAGAGTCCGCTGCCCGTGGAGGTGAGTCTATCTAGGAAATCTCTTGAAGATTTCAGCTCTCTATATATATAATCCCTAATCCTTAGCAACGGAGCAAGCGACGTGGTCATCTGGGCAGCAGCACCAATGGCAGTGGCTGTGATTCCGGTCAGGAGATGAATGAGTCCAAATCAAATGGGGATAGTCGATCCGAGAAGAAGGTCCTCGCCCAGGGCAGCTCCAGCACGGACGAGGGCTGTGAGACGGATCAGGGCAATGATCCGGGCTCTGCCTCGCAGGAGTCCAAGGACAGCAATGGCGGTGGCCCCGTACATGGTCATGGTCATGGTCAGTCTAACGGCGGACCCACCTCGCATTCGAGCAGCGACTTAACCCACCTAGCCGGCGCAGGCGGTGGCAGTGGCGGCGGCAGTGGAGGTGGCGGCCAGAGCCACCGGATGCGTTCGTATGCAAGCAGCAGCTCCTCCAGCGGCGTCCTGGCCGGCAGTGCCGGCAGCTATTCTAAGAGTCTCAGCCAGAATCTGAGTCGTGGCTCTTCGAAGAGCAACTGCAGCGGTCCATATGATAGTCTGGACTTTGCCCTGCCCTCGGGCAAGGGTAGCCTGCCCTCCTGCATGGGTTCCAGCTCCATGCTGGCCACACCCACACCGGCATCGGGTTCACCGGCAGCCGTCTCCTCGGAGCACTCATCGGAGCGTTCGTTATATGGCAGCCATAGCTCCTGCATCCATATGCCAGGTGCCCTGGCCCTGGGCCTGGGCTTGGGTCTCGGCCTGCCGCCGCCCAGTTCGGCATCGACGCCCACGCCGAATCCCACGCCACCGCCGCCGCCAAACGGAGGAGGAGGAGGAGGAGGAGGTGCTCCCTTTCTGGACAAGCGTTCGCCCATTCATTTCCGCGAGGGACGAAGGGCCAGCGATGGCCTGGTGGCCCAGGGATTGCTCAGCTCTGGCAGCCTTCTTGGCACCAGTCGGGTGTATGGAAGCTATCGCTATGAGCAGGCCAAGCGACACAACTGGCTGGAGATCCAGCAGCTGCAACAGGAGGCGGCTCACCAGCATCAGCATAACCATGGACATGGCCAGGTGTATGGCCTGGAGGAGCTATGTCAATTTCCCAATGGTCAATTCTATGCCCTGCCCGCTGGCAAACATCATCCGCTAATGACGCTGCCCCATCACCATGGACATGGACATGGTCATGGACATGGTCATAGCCATGGTCATGGTCATAGCCACGGTCATGGACATGGACATGGACATGGACATGCTCATGGACATGGCCATGGACATGTTCAGCATCCCCTGTTTCATCCGGGTCAGGCGGCCGCTCCACCGCCGCTGCTCCTCGAGGCTGGCGCTGGCGGAGATCTCTATGGTCATGCGGCCGCCGCCGCTGCTGCTGCTGCTGCCGCTGCTGCTGCGGCCGCCTGCTATGCCCCGCCACCGCCGCCACCCGGTCTATATCCACATCCGCATCATCCTTTGGGTGTGACCAGTGTGGCAGTGCCCATGTCACCGATGCAAAAGCCACCATTGCAGCAGCAATTGCTCCAGCATCGTTTGCTCCAGCAGAAGCGTCAGCTCTTTCAGAAGCAATACGCCCTGGAGGCACAGCTGGCCGGGCGACATCATCAGCAGCAGCATCCACATCCACATCCCCATCAGCAGCAGCAGCATCAGCTCCATCAGCACCATCACTTTGGGCATCCGCAGCCACCGCCTCCGCCACCGCCGGCACCCAATCCCGAACAGCATCTGGCCGAGGAGCTGTATGAGCTGGCCCTCCTAGAGCGACCCAGGAGCGGCACACCGAGGCTGCAGCACTCGATGACCATGCCGGGAGCTCATGCCTTCAGTCAGATGAATCTAAAGACCTCCTACATCAGTCAATCGGACCAGGGCACTGGTCAGGTGGGAGGAGCTTCAAATGGTGGTGGGGCACCAGGTGGTGCCGGAACAGTACCGCCGTCCACAGCACCGGGCACGCCCACGGCGGTCAAGTGCAAGCCGGCCACGCCACATGGGCATAGCCTGGAGGCTGAATATCATGTGAGTATATCAACAATTTTTATCTCCAAGTTAAGTTATCCATTATCTTAATCTCCAGTTAACTATATTTATTGGTATTCCTTTCCAGACATCGACGCCCGTGCTCAGTTTATTCACACCCAACTGGCAATCGCTGGTGAAGCCGCTCAGCGAGAGTCCCATCCTGGAGATATCCGAGCATCTGGAGTCCGTCTAAGTGGGATGAGGGAAAGAGGGAAAGGGGGGGATGCTCTATCCGGGGAGGGAGGCATCGGACTAATGGTGACCCTTTGTTGGTCACCTCAATTTTTTATTAAGCTCGCAATCGCAATTATGAATTATTTGATCCCATATACGATATACAAACCATGCAAACATATATATATATAGATATACATAGCGGATATATATATATATACAATATACACGGATCCATCTGGAACTGGAGAACTGGTTAACTGAAGCTATACGATGGAATCAACGTAATATTGGAAGATTTAGTTGTGTTATTAGCCTTAAGTAGTCCAAAGTTTCGTACGCATACACGCAGACATATACAATATGTATATTGATAATAATAGCGTTAAGCTATAGCTCTTACTTATGATTACACTATACACACCCCGGAGAGGATTACGAGGATGAGCAGGTGGGAGCAGGTGGAAGTGGATTATGAGAACAACGTAACTACATATATCAATTATTCGAAGCATTTATTGGGGCATAGATAGGGTATATCCATATACGGATATATCTATTATGTATTGGTACAATAATTAGCGACAAGCAAACAAAAAAACAAAAAAAAAAAAAACTTATAAAAACAAAACATCGATTGTTCTTAAACATGGAATTCAAAATGTAAACCAGATATTAAAGTCATTTGGTATAAAATGCAATACACTTCTGGTGTTCCTACATTACATATGTATATTGGTATGGTTTCTTGGAAGGGTTTCTTTGATCCTGTGACTAGACACAAACAAAATGATCGATCCTGCTGGGGGACGGATGACATACAAAGGCAATGACAAGGGAGAGAGAGTGACAGCTCCTAGCGGAAGTCACGCTGCCGATTTACCCAACTTCCGTTTCCGCTGCTGCTGCTGCTGTTGCTGTTGCTGCTGTTGCTGCTGCTGGTGATGATGCCTCTGATCTTGCTGATGGGAATCAGAGGAGCCATGACACCTCAATAGATTCCAATAGGCTCGACGATACTCGGAACTCATTAGCACATAAATCAACGGATTGATGCAGGTGGTCAGATAAATAAGCAAATAACCAGCAATATTAAACCAATGCACCTCTGTGGCCGTCTTCCATATCTTGGTCACTGTTATGGGTAAATAACAGATGACAAACCACACAAAGATCACCAGAATCATTTTGAGTAAACGTCGATCCTTGGCGCTCATTCGACCCGGATAAATGGACGAGGCATTGGATGTATTACCCATGGAGGCATATAGTGATTTTCGTGGACTAAATCGGGTGAAGGAGGTGCGCAATGAGGCAGTTATGGGATTGGAATTGGAATTCGGATTCTTCCTATAAAAATCATAGTGAAATTAGAATTTATATTCGATATATTGGTCACACCCTACCCACCCGGAGTTCTTGGCCAGCTCCAGTTGCGTTTGACTGCGTCCCAGGCTGATCTTCTCCTGATCTCGCTCTCGCTCTCGCTCTCGTTCCTTCTCCTTCTCCTTCTCCTTGAGCACCACATTGGCATCCACTGGTGGCTGCTGATCCTCCTGCTCCCGCCGCCGGATGCTGTACGAGATGGGCAGGCTGTCCGCCGAGGCATTGTCATCTATATAGGCCAGCTGCTCGGCCACCACAAAGGGTCGTCCTGGCTCCTGCTGCTGCTGCTGCTGTTGTCCTTCGCCACCACTCGATGTGCTGGCCTTCTCTGGCTTTGACCTGGGCATAGCCATGGGCTGGCTGGGTGTCACCTCGCTGAGATTAGCCTTGTTGGCAGTTCCTGCCCGTATGGCTGCCTTCCGGACCAGCATAAAGATCCTGGCATAGCAAATCACAATGCAAATGCAGGGCACCATGAAGGCGGCTATGAACAGGAACTCCTTGGGCGAACGTCCATATCGATCGTGGAGAATGGAACAGGAACCGATGCTTACATCCAGGCCAAAGCAGCCCCAGACGCCGCGCCATGTGGGTATCATGATCGAGAATGTGGTCACCCAAGTGCCAGCCACCATCAAGGCCAGATAGCGTCTCTGGTAGATCCTGCAGGGATGATTAAGAGAAAATAAAATAAGGGGTTACAACGTTAAAATGATTAAAAATCGGTCCAAAATTCACATTTTAAATGGAGTATGCAGTTTCTTTAACCTGCTAAAAATGAACATACAAACGCTTTCCGAATTAAAATTAATGCATTTTTGGCCTAGTTATGAATTTTTTTAATTTTGATTTGTCAAAAAATGTTCACATAAAAATATAGTTAATATCCATTAAAAAATGGTATTCTAACTTTAGTCAGAAGCTTTAAACTAAGTGAAGGAGTTATTTCCGACCCCATAAACCATATATATTCTTGATCAGCATTAACAGGAGAATCTTTCTAGCCATCTTCGGCAGAAAAAAATATTTTTCGCAAATTTTCAATTTTTGAAAAAAAGGAAAGGGGTTACATCGTTAAAATTTTCAAAAATCGGTCAAAAATTCAATTTTTAATGGAGTATGCAGTTTTATTAATCTGCTAAAAATGAACATACAAACGCTTTCCGAATTAAAATTAATGCATTTTTGGCTGAGTTATGAAATTTTTAAACTGTGTTTAATTCATAAAATATATCCTATAAATATACGAATATTTAATGCTTATTTATGATTAATTTCCAATTCGATCCTATAATTTAATTGCAAACTGCATGGGTATATAAACTTTGGCTTTCCCAAGTTTAGTTTCCTTTCCCGTTAAATATAAAACAATTTCTTCGAGATGCGTGTGCTGGTCTATATAACCATGTTCTGTATATTCCTATAAAACAGAACCCATTTCCACACACACACACACACTATATACACACACATTTTGTTTAAACACACGAAAATCCAAAAGCTCAAAATTCGAAATGTTTGTCTAAATTCCGAAACAACAATCGATCGATCGAGTGTGTGTGTGGGTTTTCTTGTGAAATATGGTCAAGTGGATGGAGAAACCTTACCTGGGATATTGCCTGGGATGGGCTATGATGATATACCGATTGATGGTGATCAATGATACGGATAGCAGGGATACGGCCAGCAAACCATATCGAAGCATGGGAATAGACGGCACAGGAGATCACTGTGCGTCCAGGCTCGTTCCCGAAAGGTGGATGCGGCCAGCGGGAGATTGAAGCAACCGAAGAGCAGATCCGAGCAGGATAAATTTATAATAAATATAGCCGTAGAGTTACGCGTCTGACGGCCACGGGATAGGGCAATGATGGTCAGCAGGTTGCCGGGCACACCCACAATAATGAAGACAATGCAGGCCATCCAGGCGATGGTCAGCAGCTCATCCGAATAGCCCTCGAAGAGCACCTGATGTCCATCACTGGTGGTGGTGTCGGTGGTTAGGTCCAGGTCCAGGTCCATTTCCAGTTCCAATTCAGGTGACATTAGTTGAATATCCATGGGTTTTACAACCAAATCTGATTGTAGTAGCAGAGGCATTATCTCCGGTTGATGCGTTTGGTGCGGAATGTTGCTGCTGCTGCTGCTGCTGATGCTGATGCTGCTGGGCGGGAACATGGTGGTAACGGATGGCGTCGGGTCAGGTCGGTCGGTCGGTTGGTCGGTGCAAGGTGGGGAGCACGTTGCTCGTTCCTGCTCTGAATTTGTACTAAAACTGAATTCTTCGCATCCACAAAAGCCAACCAAAAAAAAAAAAAACAAAAAACAAAAAAACAACAACAACAATAAGAATAACAACAAAATGTGAGGAAAAGCGGGAAGCCAGCCGAGCGTACAAAATATTGAGAAAAAAATCAAATCCAGAAAAGAGCCCGAAAAAAACTACACAAGCACCAGCGAACTAGAAAAACTTTTGGAAAACGAAAACAATACAGTGGCAGCAACACCAACAACAACAACACCAACAACAACACCAACAACACCAACAAATAGCAGTACAAATTTTTATTGTATACAACAATTGACTTCATCATCGGGTAATTTGGTAATTTGGTAATTTGCCCGTGGAATGGGCACAATGTTTACATTGTTCCTATTCTTCGGGTTTTCAGTTTTTGGGGCTCGGTTCGTTAACGTTTCGGATATGGGATTCGGAATCGGTTTTTCCTCCAGCTTTCCCAGCTTTTCCTCGCTCTCTCGCACACTTTTCTTCGAGCGTCGATATTCTGATGGATCGCATTGTTGCTGTTTTTTCTTTTATACTTTGGATTTCCAAATATACGAACTAGGGGTACAGGGTTTTTAAAAAAAATCTTAAAAAACTATAGACATACTATCAACGGCAGCTTTATTAATTGGTTTATTTTATTTAAGCATGTATAATATGTAATATAGAATTAAAGGAAATGAAAAACAAAAGTTTTATTCATGGTTTTATATATATACTTTATTACAATCGTAGAATTTAAGTAATATTTCAACTATATAGATTCCTCTTGCAGCCCTGATTTTGGGATTCCGTTCGTACGCACACCTCTTTGAGCATTTTCGAAACTAAAAACTTTTTCAATTCTTAGCAGCGTGTTGTTTTTTTTTGTGTGTGTGTGTGTGTGTAGTTTCCTCTGGATAATAAATGGGATCTACTCATAGTAACAACAACAACAAAGATTTATACAAAAAAAAATATAAATATATAAAAGCAGAGAGAAACGCACACGAGATTTGAGTGAATAAATACTATATGCAAACGATTTCGATTCTATGCGTAAAATAAAAGTCATAGTCGTGAGGCATTTCTCTCCCCGATTTTCCACAATTTCCTCACCCTGATAAAAACGCCTTTAACAAAATTTAGATGCCCGACTCTCTTAATTAATCAACTTTATGTCCAATTTCCATCTAGAGAAGGGGTCAAAGTGCGGGTCATTTGTGCTGGAAAATTAAAAGTATAGCGTTTGCCTTATTGTGGCATGGAAAAAGAAAAACGAGTAAGTGATTCAGGGAATGGAAATTAAAGGGAAAACTCTTTGGCAATTCGAACCACTGTTTGTTTTCCATGCAGGGTCCCGTCCCGGAATTGCACCAGACTATACAAACTATACAGACTATATATACAGATATATATGTACATATATACAAAGAGTTCCGATCGTGTCCAGTGACCATTATGCGGAAAACAAACAACTGGAGACGGTCTGCTAGCGCCATATCGCCTTCGATTCCAGTTTATATCTGGGATTCTTTATTTGTAATTTAAGATAATGCCAAGGGTATATACTATATACATCAGGATTATTGAGAAAGAACATCAATCACCAATTGACACATACGGTTTTTTTTTGTGTGTGTAATCTTGGGTTTGGGATTATGTTTTGAATAAAGAAAGCTTGGATTTATAAGGTTTATTATTAGTTGCAATGATTTAAGCAATGTTTAAGATTTGGGTAAAGAAAAAGGTGATACATATCAAATACTATATATTTACTATATACATATATTACCCATAAATACAATTATTTTGATACAGTAAACCCAGATAGTTTTTTTTTATTAATAAAAACAACCTTTTAAAATATCACACATTTTGTTGTATAGATTTCAGCAAAATTTTGAGTTGATGGAAAATGAGTATTGTAAATAATATATATAAAATATAAAGTAATACTTTTCTCTTTAAATATTATGAATAATGTATTAAGTAATAAGTTTCTTTTTATTTTATATATATTTTATTTACAATACTAATTTCCTGTCTGCTATTGTATTATGGAAATTCTTGCGGAATGGCCACAAAAGTGGAAACTAAAACTTCCCCCATTTGGTTTTTGTGAATGTAATTGTGGGGATACGAATCGAATGCCAATCGAGGGAACTCCCCCCCCCCCCCCGTCCTGTACACCCCGTCCAGACCCATGGATCCCCATTACCGATCTCCGATCCCAGCTAATGTAAACTTCTCCGGCGCACTTATACGCACACACTCGGGCGTATATTTAGATAGCCATAAACCATAAACTAGCGTGTTCTTAACACAATCCACAGCAAACACAAACAAAAGGCGAGTGCACACAAATCGGCTATATCTTTAGTTCGATATCGGCACTGGGGAAAATAGTATATATCATTTTGTTCAAGCGAAGTTTCACGATCTATCTAATCATCATATTGAGTTCAATATCAATATATATGGAAAACCTTGAAATTATAAATTATTTATATTTATTTATTATTAAATTAAATTATGAGCCTTCCCATATTTTATATGATAATTATTTGAATAAATTCAAGTTTAAAACTACCATAAGTGAGCCAAAAAAGCATTAATTTCAATTCGGAAACTGCTCCTCTGTTAGTTTTTACTATATATTATTATATATTATATTATATTATTATATTGTTTATCAATTTTTGAAAATTTTAACGATGTAAACTTTGGAAAAATTTTTGAAAATCTTGTTTTCCGCCTGAGATGGCTAGATCGATTCTCCTGTTAATGTTGATCAAGAATATATATGATTTATGGGGTCGAAAATAACTCCTTCACTTAGTTTCATGCTTCTGACTATAATAAGAAATCCTAGTCTGTGTAAAAAATATCATATATTTAATATATATTTAAAGTTTTGCTTCAAATATAATATACATCAAAACGATCATGTTAAAATTAGTTTTTCATGTTTATCTAAAGATGAGAAGTTTGTATTATTATTATTTTGTAATTTAAATATAAAATATTTCATTTATTTCTATTTTATCTCTTTTTTCTGTGTAGTCTCATGGGTTTCTTTGAATCGGATTGGAAACGATCGATGTCGAATGTCCAATTGTGTAAACATTAGAATGCAGACATGCTGACACGCGGACAGGCTGCCCCTTATCAGTTGTTGCCGCTGCTGTCGCTGCTGCTGGCGTTGCACATTGTGATAATGAAGAAGAGTAGCTACATATAGCTGCAATGGATATCGGCAATCATTAAGGGATCGCGTATACGCACACGCACACACACACACACACACTAACCAACACCCGCCACCCGCACCACACCAAAAGATCGCCGCCAGATGGCCGTCTGTCTTTCTGTCCCTGTCTGTCGCACTGTCCCCACCCGGCTTGGAGCAACAGTGACCAGGAGAGTGTGAGAGAGCATGGCTGAGAGCGCCAAATCATGGGGGCCGCACAGGGGCGGAGCTTGAAAGGGGTTTGCAAGAATATAATTCAATTAAATAAATATTAACTTGATTAAATTGGTTTGTACATTTTTATTTATTTATTTATTTATTCATTTATTCTAAGAGTATAGTTCATAGTTTATTGAGGCGTTAGACCCCCCTTGGCTTGATCGCACCCACGTCCATGTCCCTCAACCTCGGAGAGCACACAACGGGGCAGAGATCGAGGAACGCTGAGTGAGAGTGAGAGTACGAGTGAGAGGTGGAGGTTCCTATTTGTCAACTGGCATAGCAATATCACACTCGCACTCGTACTTGGAACGACGACGAACTGCACACTCGATCATTTCCGAACCGCAGTTAGTTGTAAATTACATTCGGAGTGTCGCCTAGAATGTTAGTAATAATAAACATTGTAATAATAACTTCGATTTGGCTTCGATTTTCTTTTTCGCTTGAGTGACATTTGATGCCCATTAGGCAACCTCTATACGCGTGTGTGCTTCAATATTGTTTTTTTGCATTGTTTTTAAAAAATATTTTTGTGCTTATATGTTTTGTTTGGTGATAATGCCGAGTGCTGCTGAGCGGCAACCTGTAACCCTTTTTTTTAATTTCTACCTGATCCCGCTCGTTGCTTAAAGGCATTAGTCATGAAAGCCAGGTCGGCTTTTGAATCACCAGCAGTAATAATAACAACAACAACAACAATCACAACAGTGGAGCGTCCCCAACAACAACAACAACAACAACAGCAAGCGAATGAATGGCAAATGCCGTAAACTGTTTACATTGCTCACCACAGCATTACTCACTCACCTCTCTACCTGAGAGCAAAAGGGAGTTGGAGTAGAGAAAACATAACAAAACACACAACAACAAAAAAATCAACTCTACTCAAATTAATGCAAAGAAAGGGGAGCAAAAGAGATCGCAGCTGCACTAGTTTCGATTACGTGAGCAGCAAATAAATAAATAAACAAGCGATTTCCAATCCTCCTCTCTCACTTACTCACTGATAACACGTATACGCACCCGTGCACCTACACACGTGCAAAATCGACAGGAGAGAGAGTGTGTGAGAGAGACACGATCGGTAGGATTACCAAATAAAAAACAACAACAATAAAATTAGAAAAAAATTCAGCGACTAGAGGTAAGCGCAACACAACTACTGATAAGATAACCAAATATGTATTCGAGCCCAGACAGATTGCGTATACGCCCCAGGGGCCAGGCTAAAGAATGCAGCCATGACCTAAGGAAGGCAAGAAAGTGGGGAATAGGAAAAGGAAAAGAGGGAAATAGAGGAGGAAAAAGGGATATACACTAAGATCAAAAAGGATATGGTAAGGCATAAGGCAAAAGGCATAAGGCATAAGCAAAATTTAAGAAATATAATTTTTAAAATAAAATATTCATGTTTAACGTATCAAAAGCATTTTAAATGAGAAGATAAAAATAAGGCAAGGAGTCATTTTATTTATAAAGAAGGAAATCTTTAGAGATCAAATCAATTTTATATAGAAAATGGCTTAACAAATTAAATACCTATAAGCCCGTTTTTTATTTAACCTAACCTTTTAATTATAAATAAATTAATTTTAAAAAAACCAAGCTATTTTATATAAACCTTTCAATAGCAAATTGAATATTCATCAGCCCGTTCTTTATTTAACTAAACCTTTGAATCGTAAATAAATAAATATCATAAATTAAAGAATGATTGAAGCTATCTTATAGAAAAAGTGTTATAACAAATTAAATACCTACAAGACCGTTATTTATTAAACTAAAATTTTAATTATAAATAACAGAAACTTCAAGAGATCGAAGGTATTTTATATAGAAAATGTTATAACAAATTAAATACCCATAGTCCCGATCTTAAATAAAATCAACTGGCAAATCAGCTCACTCCGATAGTAAAAACCTTAATGTGGCTTTGATTTTAATCACACAAAAGCAGTTTAATCACTGTTTTACATAGACAAACCTTTCAGGATAGTAACTTATCTTACAGACTATCCTTACAACTAAAATTTCGTATATAAAAAAGAAACAAAAAACTGCTCCTTTTTTCCTTGCCGTGTAAAACTCATCACTTGCCTCGATTAGCGGCCACTCGAGCGAAGAGCGGATCACTTGGCACACACACTCACACACACATTTTAGACGTCTCTGCAAATAAATATATACAAAAAAAAAAAAGAAAAGAAACCCGAGTGAAACAGTCACTCAATTAATTAAGGTTCGACGCTGATCTTTGCACCCCAAGTGCTCCGGCTGCAGGAGGTGCTGCAGAAGCTACACAGAGATACAGATACAGATACAGATACAGCTTAGATACAGATACAAAATAGAACATAAAACTACAGAAGACTGAGACGAGTGAGTGTGACCTCTTTAAATTATTTAATTGACACTAATTTATCATAGTCCGCAAAGGGTGCCACGCCCCGATTCCGGGTGGGTTACCAAACTGGGCAAAAAAAAGGGGCAACAACAACGGAGACGGCGGAGTGTCATGTTGCGGGTTACTTGTGTTGTTGCGTCGGCGCAATAAGTATGCAGCCAGCGCCAGTTTGGAGGCACGAGAAGAACCTCATCCACTCGATTGCCAGTTGGCAATTGTCGTCGCTGGCGATCGGTGTTCAGTGCGTGTGTAGTTTTTTGTGATTGGGGTGATTTGGTCACCGATTGGACAGGATCAATATCAAGATCAAGTGAATTAACGGGTGAAAATCAATAGAGACAGAGGTCGTGAGAGATTGTCGAAGCTAAAAGGTAGTGATGACCTTTTCGGTTGCCACTTTTGAGGTGCAAAAGAAGATATGACTCATGGTGAAGCTGGAAGCTAAGAAGTCACATCTCAGAACAAACTGAAACTTTAATTAAAAATCAGTGGAATCAGCGATCAGTGATCAGTGATTAGTGACTGTGGTCAGGAACAATAATCAAGATCAAGTGAGATTAGAAAGAGAACAGGGAGTAATCAGGAAATGATCAGGAAGAGATCAGGAAGAGATCAGGAAGAGATCAGGAAGAGATCAGGAAGAGATCAGGAAGAGATCAGGAAGAGATCAGAAAGAGATCAAGGAGAGATTAGGAAGTGATGAAAAAGAGATCAAGAAGTGATAAAAAATAAATAATTAAAACCAAAGTACGCATGATTAAACCTTTCTTAAGAAATCTCCCCACTAAGAACTGACTCGCTGTAAAGGAACTTGCATAGAAAACCCCTTCGACTATATATTAAACTATAAAACAATAATGCAGACCAGACATAGATATGATTCTCTTAATTTATTGATCTTCAGCAACGGGAAATGAACTTTAACGACAACAAACTCAACCAAATATTTGCTTACCAAGCTGATAACCTTGATGATTGTGATTTTGTCAACAAATGATAACATTCAAGTGGGTTCCTCTCCCCATGAGACTTTTCTTTTTAAATAATATAGTAGAAATAAGCGTTTCATTTTAGGAAATGTGAATGAATCATTAATTAAGCAAGTCCTGGAATCAGAATGGAACAGCTCATGCTAGATCTTAGAAATCATCTGTCACTGAGAGTAAACCTTCTTTCTTATACTTTCTCATATTTCTCATCTATATTTTTTTAGCATCAGAATGAGTGACGAGTCTACGGTTGACCTAGGCGATGGCTATCCCCCCTTGGAGGCGCTGACAACAACCACGACGATGGCTTCGCCAACGGACGAGGGCGGGTGAGTTAGTGTGGGGATCTTGGATCTGGTGCTTTGGTGTTGACGATGTGCCAAGTGGGTGCCAAGTGAGTCGTGCAATGGTTTTTGAAGCTATCAGCTACACCCAGTGGGTAATTATAGACCCTGGGGCCTGGAGAGGTCCGATAAGAGATCGTTAATATTACGCGCTCCATTGCACCACAAACTGACAAAGACGTCTGATTCTTGTGGGATTCTTTAGCCAGCGGAAGCCGGCAACTTCGAGTACGATATGGTGATAGCCACAGGGCCAAATGGTGGGGTGCACAAAGGTCGCCAAAAGTAGCAAACAGATTTCCGCTTAAGTCATTAGAATCACAGCACAAGAAGTAAGATCAAAAGGATTTGCCTTTTTTATAATGTAGAAAGATGAAGCTTATATTAAAGTATATAATCAACATAAAACAACAAGATAATAATCTGGGAAATACATAATTCAACTGTTTGGTTTTTGTGATATGGAAATTAACAGGAATTTAATAAGTGCTTCCTGGAAATAGTTATTATTTTAAAGTGAAAGGGCAGTACATTGAATATGGGTTTATAAAACTATATAGCACTTGCTGAATTAAGCCATAAGCAACCTTAATATATTTAAATAATGATTTGTAGGTATTTAATTTGAATTTAATTGAACTTATTCCCCAATTTCCCACAGCTTCTCACAGTCCCTGTTGACCTTTGCCGCTGTGATGACCTTCCTGATCATGATCGTTGGCATTTGTGGCAACCTCCTCACCGTCTGGGCCCTGCTCAAGTGTCCCAAAGTTCGCAATGTGGCTGCGGCTTTTATTATTAGGTAAGGGATATGCGCCTCTTTTAGAATTCAATATCTATATCTATATATCTTTTTGTTCTTAAGCCTATGCATTGCCGATTTGCTATTCTGCGCCTTGGTGCTACCCTTCCAAGGTCTACGCTTTGTCCAGGGCACTTGGCGTCATGGCGCCATACTCTGTCGCCTGATACCCTTCATTCAGTATGGAAATATTGGTGTCTCATTGCTCTGCATTGCCATGATCACGATAAATCGTTATGTGATGATCACACATCATGGCTGCTATGCGAGGATCTATAAAAGCCATTGGATTGCTATAATGATCGCTGCCTGTTGGCTCTTCTCCTATGGGATGCAATTGCCAACTCTGCTGGGGGAATGGGGTCGCTTTGGCTACGATTCTCGCCTGCAAACCTGCTCCATTATGACCGATGATCATGGTCATAGCAGCAAGACGACACTCTTTATCACAGCCTTCGTGATACCCTGCCTGGTGATCATTGCCTGTTATGCCAAGATCTTTTGGGTGGTTCACAAGTCGGAGCAGCGGCTGAAACAGCATGCCACCAAGCAGAACTCCATACCGAATAACCTAAGGCCAACGCCAGGAGCTGGATCGGGTGCAGGAGTAGGAGCAGGAGCCGGAGCAGGAGCCGGAGCAGGAGCAGGAGCATCATCAGGCGGTGATAATGGGAATCGCGTGTCCACGGACAGTAGCAGTAGCTATTCCACCGATGTCCCCGAGACGGCGCCCACGGGCAAGCAGCAGCAGACCACCAGGATCAAGGATCAACGGGAGGTGCGGGCCAAACGCAACGAGTGGCGCATTACCAAAATGGTTTTAGCCATTTTCCTATCCTTCGTCATCTGTTATCTGCCCATCACCATTGTCAAGGTGGCCGACAAGGATGTGGAGCATCCCAGTCTACACATTTGCAGTTACATCCTGCTCTATCTCTCCGCCTGCATTAATCCCATCATTTATGTGATTATGAATAAGCAATATAGAAAGGCATACAAGACAGTGGTCTTTTGCCAACCGGCTCGCCTCCTTCTGCCCTTTGGTAAGACCAATGGTGCTAGCAGTGCTGCAGGTACGTGTAAATGCTGAAATCTATTCTGGAACTACCAGCACTAAGTCACGGTCATTCTTCGTTTTAGAGAAATGGAAAGATACCGGGTTGAGCAACAACCACAGCCGCACCATTGTCTCCCAGATGTCGGGATCAGGGACGGGAACGGGCACGGGAACGGGAACGGGAACGGGCACGGGAACGAGCCCACAGCAACCTCAGGCAGTGCAGCAGGCCTTGGAGCTTCAGTCCCGCGGACCGGACTTGATCAGCAAATGCAATCTGCAGGCAACTCCGGTGTCATCGGTTACTCCACCGCCGCCATCGGTGCTCATGGCCACAGTGGCGTCCAACAACAATCGATTGCCGATCAAGAAGAGCAATCACTCTTACACAAACAGCGGATTCAACAGCAGCAGCAGCAGCATCGGGAGTCCGGGGATCAGCGGTTCCATCTATCGACCGGGAACTGGAATCGTATCAGCGGGGATACGACGCATCACAATGGTGGGCGACGACATCATATTGGAGGAGGAGGAGATGCCAACGACGCCAACTACACCGATGTCATCGGCACCACAGACGCCAGCACCAGCGCCACCATTGCCGCTCCTCACGTTATCCGTCCGAACACATCCTTTGTCCATGAATACAACAAAAGGTACAGCGGGAGCAGCAGCAGCGGTGGCGGCGGTGGCGGCGGTGCCAGTGAAATCACCGGTGACACCGCCCATTTACATGAACGTGGACAGTCCGAAGAGAAACCAATCCTATTCCGAACGTAATATGAGTAATAATGGTCAGGAGAATGATGCCACAACCATAACAACCACATCAACAGCTGTAAACAATACCGGCTCCAAGCTAACGGCCAAGATGAAATTCCCAAAAGACTAACGAAAATGCTTTAAGAAATATTCCAAAAATGAAAAACCCTAAAATTCGTTATAAAACATAAACATAAAACATTATATTATATTATATTACATTACATTACATTATCTTTTATGCCAGGAAACCAAGAACAGTCCATGGTTTCTTTGTAGACTCTAACTCTACTATATAGTCCTATATCTTCCATAGAATAGTCACTGAAATTGTGCCATAGACTAGATAGTTCTTTTTTTTTTTTGCTTAATGATACCCAAACTTTTGGAAATTAGTTATTTTGTAACTTACTTTATTTTAGATTTTGATATATTCTATTTAATTTTACCTTTTTTTTTTATTCTTTCCCTTAACTTAGTCTGATTCTTTGTCTATCCTCCAGTTTTTTTACCCAGAACTTATGTTATTTTGTAGATATTTATGATCGCCCATGCTTAGTATTAACCCAAACTCTATATATGCTATAGAACCACTTTGAAACCGAAGTTGGAGTCCAAGTTTTGATTTCTTTCAGCTTAAAACATTCCATTTCAAACGTAGGCCTTTGTAAATGAACCTATTGTTAGTACCACAAGCACTCCATTTGACGACAGACGTAATCGAATATGAATATAAACATTTATGTTTACATGAAAAAATATATATATATAAAATAAACACACTGTAATTTATTACCAACCAAAGTTTAATCAGTTTTGTTGTCAACGAATTCTGGGGAAACGAAATGGGCTTGGGTTTTGTTTGGGCTTCGGTTTCGATTTACTATCTTGCGAATTTGCACTTGATGTGCGTTATTCAAGTATTTGTTTATATTCCGGAAAAATCGGATAATGAACGAATTGCAGGCTCAAGTTGAGCTTGACCTTGAGAAGTCTTTTCATTTGCTTAGTAAACTAAATGAAACTTCATTAAATGGGTATTGTTTAGTACTATTTATAGCTTAAAATAGATCCTATTTAAGAGATATATACTTATACTTAAATTTACTTCAAAGCTTGATTTAAATTATAATAATAATTTTAGTCAGAGGTTTAAAACTAAGTGAAGGAATCATTTCCGACCCTTTAAATCATATATATTCTTGATCAGCATAAACAGGCGAATTTATCAAGCTATCACTGACAGGAAAAAAAAATGTTTCTAAAATTTTCAATTTAAAAAAAAAGAAAAGGGGTTACATCGTTAAAATTTAAAAAAAATCGTCAAAAATTTGAATTTTTAATGGAGTATACAGATTTATTAATCTGGTAAAAATTAACATAGGACCGCTTTCCAAAATAAAATTAATGCTTTTTTAGCTAAGTTATGAGTTTTTTAAATTTTGATTTTCTCAAAAAATTTTTATATAAAAATCTCGATTATTTTTAGCCAAGTTAAGATCGATTTTTAGTGCGATCCTAGATTTTAAAATAATGTATAATAAAAATTGATCTCTTTCCAATTTGTTCTTAGTTTACCTAATCATTTTTCTTTGTGTAAAACCAAAGTTAATATTTTCGAAAAAACCAAAACCTTTATCTAAATCAATTTCATTGGAATTATGCAGAATTCATATATCGGAAACTAACGATACTCTTTCTGGGCGTAGTCCATCGCTGACCCAATTGTCCGGCTCAAGTTCGTCCCTCTCCCAGTTAGAGGGAGAGGAGGGGCAGGGGGGGGGGAGGTGGAGGGTTTGACAGGGGGCGGCAGCGGACGTAGGTAGGTGGGTGGAACTTATCGCCTGGCAAGCTTATCGCCTCGGCAGCTTGCTGCAGTCAGTGCAACGCCACCGGTCGAGCAGTAACACGGCGCCGACACGTTTGAATATATATATATAAAGCAAAATCTAATCAAATCGAATTATAGTTAAACCAAAATCGGTATAGAATCTTAACGAAATGAGCAGCAACAATGTGATCTGTACGATCTGTGCGGAACGGTATCGCAACTCGGACAATATACACGCCGGAAGCTGCGGGCATGTGTTCCACGAGGAGTGCCTCTTTCGCTGGAGGGAGCAGTGAGTGTTTCCAAAATAAAATTAAAATTAAAAAAAGAACGAATTTCCTACAAAGATTAAAAAAAAACCATACCAAGTGCTTCAAAAGGTGCTAACGCAAAAGTGCTAAGTGCTTAACTTAAAAATAAACTTAACAGCAAAATAAGTTCCAATATCTAAAAGCCTAAATGTTATTTAAATAATATAAATTTAAAGTGTATTAACAAATAAAAGTATTCTTTTTAGTGCATACTCTTTATTATTAGTTCATTTTTGGTTTTAAATTTTACGTTTTACGATATTCTTTGTGTGTGGGGGCTTTCCCTGAAAGTAACCGCAAACTTCTTATCGCTTCATGTTATTTATAATTCAAGGTCTTTAAAAGGCCTTAAGAATGATTTGATATATGTATATGATTGTGATTTTACTTCTCAATTAAAATAACAAATAACGTTTTGGACAAATTAAAATGAATCCAATTATAAGCTAGGACTATCACTGGCTTTTATTTAAATGTAATGCCCTTCAAAAGACCTTTAATATTCGCATCGATATTTAATTTGAAAGCTTTTTCATGAATATCCAATTTAAAAAATAAAATAAAAGAAGCAGAAGTTTGTAAACCCTTGCAGTTTGCAATAAAATTAATGGATCGAATCGAAATCGATCAGCACTCAATTTGAAATATAAAATATAGTTATATTTTTATGTGGCAATTTTTTCGACAAACTAAAGTTAAAAAAATTCATAACTCTGTCAAAAAAGTTTTAATTTAAATTCGGAAACCGATCCTATGTTAGTTTTTATGATGTTTATAAATCTGCATACTCTATTTAAAATAAAAAAAAAACTGAAATTTTTACCAATTTTTGCATAATTGAACGATGTAACCCCTTTCCATTTTTAAAACCTGTTTATCAAGATCAAGAATATATATGATATATATATGATTTGTGGGGTCGGAAATGACTCCTTCACTAAGTTTCAGTTACAAGAAAATATATAAGATCGTTACTAATTCCAAAAAGTTTCGCTGAGATTAAAGCCGCTATGCTCTCGCTTTCCAGATCAAGGACATGTCCCATTTGCCGCTCTGAGAATGCCGCCTACTTCCAGCTTTATCTGAGCTTTGAGCACGATGGAGCAGGCGTCGGTATGGGCGGCAGTGGGCGGAATCAGAACCAAGATAACATCACCAGTAGCAGCAGCAGCAGCCTCAATAACAGTGCCAGTAGCAGCAGCAGCAGCAGTCCCAGTAACAGTGCCAGCAGCAGCAGCAGCAGCAACCACAATGACAGCAGCAGCAGCAGCAACAGCAACAACAGCAGCAACAGCAGCAGCAACAGCAGCAGCAGCAGCACAACCTCTAAAGACCTGAGCTCTGGTTTAATGCGGGAGTACGAACTTCTGTTATATGAAAAGGACCTTTACCAGCAGGAGATCAAGTATTTGAATCATCGCATAGGACAGCTAACCCTAAACAATTCAGCTTGTAGGCTATCAGAGTCGGACTCCGATACAGATTCCGATTAAAAACTATATAGATAAGACGAATTTACTTTAGACACAGTTGAATTCCAACTACAACTGAAAACTAGGCACAACAAAGAAGGCTAAAAAGGCAAACATAAGAAGCGCACGAGCAACTATAAATATAATTTGTAAAACTTAAATTTTTTTTAAAATTAGTAAACGATTACTCTGTTTTGGCGCTCTATTAGATAGTTATCGCACTCCTTGGTTCATGCTCGATCGATACAAATATCGAGTGCTCGATCGATACAAATATCGAGTGCAAGATTTGTTATCAAATATCTACATATAACATTATTTAACATTATCTCTAAATGATATTATATTATTTTCACTATTTAAAGCATATTAGGATAACCGAACCGAATTAAAGAGCATTTCAAGAAATTTCCAAGCGAACTTGTAATTTCCCACTATATTTTGCCATTCACAGCGCACTTGGCGCGAATTTTAAACCATACTCACCATATCTGCCAGCATATACAGAAACCAGTTTTCGCCCCCATCATAGGTGCAATTCCACCACGCACACCCGTCGCAGGCCAGCTGTGTTTTCGCGAATCTCTTCTTCTATGCTGCCGCAACCACTGCGAATGGCCAATTACCGCGTCTCTTTGTGATGATGATCGACTCAATTACAATTACAATTAAGATTGCAACGATTTAAAACCGCCCGTGTGTGTCTCGGTGTCTATGACAGTGTGTGAGTGTGTGGCCGCGAGTGATAAGCGAAGTAAACATAGCCGTCGGCGTCCATCGAACGCCACCAGCTGCAAGTAAGTGTATGGTTGCATTTGCAATTGCATTTTCGCTTAAAACGGTTGTTGTGCAGTCACCCATGTACGTAGTCGCAGTCTCAGTTCGGTTCAGTAGCCTAGAGACCGCTCGATTTAGCCGGGTCTTCTGGCTGCCGCCGCCGCCGCCGCTGCAATGAGGTCGAGGTTGCACGGTTCGCATTCCCATTGTCGCCTCCATTTCCCCCATTTCCATTTTGCATTTCCCCATTTCCATATAATTGCAGCGGCGGCGCAAAATTATTTGCACTGTGTGGCAATGGGGGCCAGACAGACGCAGGGTTGCATTAAACATGCCGCGAATGAGGGCTGCCGCCTGCGCACGCTCTACGGTTTTTGTCTCGATTGATTGATTGATTGATTCCCATACGTAATTGATTGAAGTTCACGCAGTGTTTCGTTTGGTTATTAGTGTACCCATTAATGGTTAATAGGCCAAATAGAAGCTGTCTGGTTGGAAGTTCTGTGTGGGCGGGCAGGGGGGCAACTCTGTTGAATTAGAGATGCGCCATTTGCGTGAGTCACGATCTGGCGAAGAGGTTAATTATTTATTGGGGGAATATTGAAAGAAAGTCTTTAAATACAGTTCTGACTTGAGAACATTGTCTGAATTAATTATAACATAAATATAATTATTAAAATAACAGTATGAGAGCACTCCAAAAATAATTCAATTTAAAATGGGGCATTTTCTAGACGATTATTCTTAAACAAAAGAATATTAGTAGCAATATTAAGATTATTATTATTATTATGAGTATGTTTATGAGTATTATTAATATGTTTATTATATATACTTAATTTTATTATTACTATTATTATTATTTTTTTTAATGCTGCATATTTCTAAAAATGCAGTAATATGTGCAAAACATAAGCAATAGTTTAGCATAAGAAATAAATTAGTTTAATACAATTAATTGTAAACACCTCGTGACTCGTGACACAGCTACCTGTGTCACGCACTTGCACCAGGCCGCCACAACGCTCATCACCAGCATGGTGAGTTTCCTCCGCCGTGGTGACTTTGCCTTTGTTGAGAAAAAATGTCGACGCGAAAAAAGGTTTAATCAATTCATATTAGTCAGAAAGTCTGGCATTCTTTGTTTCTTTGTTTGTTGCTAAAAAGGCGCAATTGTGTGCCAGCGCGCTGCAAAGTGCGCCCCAACCACTGCAGCGGGGGATTATATAAATGCGGCAAGTGCTGCACCACGAATTGAAAATCTGGCAAAACTGCAACCGAAGCGACGGACAGCAGCAACAGCAACAGCAGCAGCAGCAGCAGCTCCATTCACTTGGACGCAGCGGGGGCGCAAGAGCGGATAAGCGGACGGACGGACGGACACGGTGGCGTTGGCGTTGGCAATTGGCAAAGTGAAACCGAGAGAGCGGCGGCGAAAGCAAGCTGACGCGCGACAAGGAGAGAGCTGAGCAGAGCGAGGCGTGCAAAAAGAGAAACCAGGAGGAGTAGACACGACATCGCTGCTCTCGGGAAGATGGATAACTGCGACCAGGACGCCAGCTTTCGGCTGGGCCACATCAAGGAGGAGGTCAAGCCGGATATTTCGCAGCTGAACGACAGCAACAACAGCAGCTTCTCGCCAAAGGCCGAGAGTCCCGTGCCCTTCATGCAGGCCATGTCCATGGTTCATGTTTTGCCCACGGGCAACAGTTCCGGCACCACGGATGCCCAAATGTCCCAGGCACCCAATTCGGCTGCTGCTGCCGCCGCCGCTGCAGCTGCTGCAGCCGCTGCCGCCGTCCAGCAGCAATATCCGCCGAATCATCCGCTGAGCGGCTCCAAACACTTGTGCTCCATCTGCGGCGATCGGGCGAGTGGCAAGCACTATGGCGTCTATAGCTGCGAGGGCTGCAAGGGCTTCTTTAAGCGTACGGTGCGCAAGGATCTCACATACGCATGCCGCGAGAATCGCAACTGCATCATCGACAAGCGGCAAAGGAATCGCTGCCAGTATTGTCGCTACCAAAAGTGCCTCACATGCGGCATGAAGCGTGAGGCGGTACAGGAGGAACGTCAGCGCGGTGCCCGGAATTCGGCGGGCCGACTTAGTGCCAGCGGCGGTGGAGGCGGCGGCGGCGGTGGCAGCAGTGGACCTGGCTCCGTTGGTGGCTCTAGCACCGGTGGTGGCGGCGGCAGTGGCCTGGGCGGCGGTGGTTCCGGCGGCCTGGGCAGCGGCAATGGCTCCGATGACTTTATGACCAACAATGTGTCCCGTGACTTTTCCATCGAACGTCTGCTGGACGCCGAACAGCGAGCGGAAGCGATGAGCGGCGACCGGGCGTTGTCTTTTCTACGTGTTGGACCCAATTCCACCGTTCAGCCAGACTACAAGGGCGCCGTGTCCGCCCTGTGCCAGGTGGTCAATAAGCAGCTATACCAGATGGTTGAATACGCACGAATGATGCCGCACTTTGCCCAAGTGCCGTTGGATGACCAGGTTATACTGCTGAAGGCCGCCTGGAATGAACTGTTGATCGCAAATGTAGCCTGGTGCAGCATTGTGTCACTGGATGACACCATGGGCAGCGGTGGCGGCGGAGGAGGCGGCGGCCTGGGACACGATGGCTCATTCGAACGAAGATCACCGGTGCAGCAGCCGCAGCAACTGTTCCTCAATCAGAGCTTCTCATACCATCGCAATAGCGCTATCAAAGCCGGCGTATCGGCTATCTTCGACCGCATCCTGTCCGAGCTGAGTGTGAAGATGAAGCGCCTGAATCTGGACAGACGCGAGCTGGCCTGTTTAAAGGCAATCATATTGTACAATCCGGATATACGCGGCATCAAGAACCGGGCAGAGATCGAAATGTGCCGGGAGAAGGTGTACGCCTGCCTTGATGAGCACTGCCGACTGGAGCATCCCGGCGACGATGGCCGTTTCGCCCAGCTACTGTTGCGCCTGCCTGCGCTGCGATCGATCAGCTTGAAGTGTCTGGATAACCTGTTCTTCTTCCGCATCATCAGCGACCGGCCGCTGGAGGAGCTATTCCTCGAGCAGCTGGAGTCGTCACCGCCGCCAGGCCTGGCGATGAAACTGGAGTAAACCAGGGCGTCGCCCGTCGAATGTTTCATTGTGATTGCGTTTCTTTGCATTTCTACCTAAACTCTATTTCCCTAAGGTCCCGAATCCTGCGAATCCCTCGAACCCTTGAACCTCAAAAGTCCCCTTAATATTACGCTACATGTGTATGTAATTGTTTATTTTTTTTATTACCTAATATTATTATTAATGATATAGAAAATGTTTTCCTTAAGATGAAGATTGATGCCTCCTCGACGTTTATGTAGCAGTAAACGAAAAAACAAAACACCTTAAATCCAAAACTTGAACACACAAATCGAAAGAGAAAAGAGATAAGAACAGAAAACACGAAGAAAACTAAACAAAAAAAAACAAACAAACACAATAAAGTAAAAGTTAAACTAAAGCATAAATATAATATATAATATATATATAAAGGTTAAACATTAAAGCATAGTTACGATGTACAGACGCATGTATACATGCGTGTTCAGTATATAAACATATATATACATTTCGGCAGAGCCCGCTCTAAATCAATTGTAATTACTTTTTAACATAATTGTACCCCAGCGTTATCAGTTACATGTGAGACGAAAAACCAACAACAACAACAACAAATATATATAAATATATATCTATATGTATAAAATATAAACTGCATAACGAAGACAGATCTTGACGTTTTATCTGCAACAATTAATATCCACTTGTGCACGCTGCGTTTCGGCACTGTAAGGTTGTGACTGTAAGTGGGTGGAAAAAGTCTTTGGAAATTTCTTTCGCTCATGTCCCGACTTCTTGTGTGTTTCGTTAAATTAGTTAATTGATTTATACTAGAGGCCTTGCAGTTATTGGCCTTCTTCCAAATAAATTTGTGATATAATTAGGTGGAGGTAATAAATAAGTTTCACAGTGAAAAAAGTTCAAAAATAGATGCAAATGCTCTATTTTGAAAACATATTCTTGAAATTGAACTTGCCACAGAGAAAATAAAATAAAGTTTACCTAACTTTCAATTATTTAAATCATACTATATATTATGATTTAATAATTGGAAGGAATGTAAACTCAATTTTATTTAGTCTCTATTGTATGATTTAAAATTTTAAAGGCGAGGTACATATTATTTTATTATTTATTATAAGTATAATATATTATTATAAATAATAAACAGGATATCTGGGTTATACATATATCATATTTTTCGTTTAAGTTGATATCATTAAGTTATTATAAAAATTTATTTTATGATAAGTAATTAATAAGAACAACTTTAATTTTTACCTTTGCAGGATATTTTAATTTTAATCAAAAGCATAAAACTTAGTGAAGGAGTCATTTCCGACCCCATAAATCATATATATTCTTGATCAGCATCAACAGACGAATTTTTCTAGCAATTTCCGGCACAAAAAAATTTAAATTTTTGGAAAAAAGGAAAGGGGTTACATCGTTAAAATATTCAAAAATTGATCAAATTTTTGTTATTCTAAAACTTCAAACTTAGTATGCAGATTTTTTAAGCTAATAAATACAAGTATAGAAACGTTTTCCGATTTAAAATTACTGCAATTTTGGACTAGTTATGGTCAATTTTCCCTGCAAGGGTATAGAAATTTCGGATTCCCGAAATTATATATCTTTCTTGTTAATTATAAAAGAAATTAATCAGAGAATCGAACTACTGTTATCTTATATTTTTTTTATTTTATATTATGAAGCTAAGCAAATATCCTTAAAGTTTATGATAAATATTTATTTTAGGTTTAATTATTAATAGAAAAGTTAACTTGACTTTTTTAAGTTTATAGAGAGGAATCTAACTACTTTGAAAACTGTAATATCTGGGATTATTTATATATTTTATATAACGTCTTCGACAAATATCCTTGAAGTGAAAAATAATATTTTTGAAGTGGGAAATTTTTAATTATTTTATTTTACATAGATCCTTGACAATCAGTAAAAACCCCATTTAGTTTTGAATCGCACTGTACCTGTTACATGTGCCTCTGTGTGTTGGGGGAGCGGACGCTCTTACCCAATAATTTGCTTTGTGGGCCATCACCACCTCCTGTCCCCGACTCCACGTCTCACCTTGAGGAGGCCTGGGGCTAAATTTTTGTATTTTGTGATGGCATTTGGTCAATTTTTATAAAATTTATGTCTGCCACTTTTCGACATCAGCGGGGGAAATGTATGTTAGTATGTATTTACAAAATATGGTATTAACGCACAAGCAGCGACTAAGAATAGATATTGTTTTCGAAAAAAGAACAAAAATCACCGCTGACGACGCACATTATGATCTAAAAATATCCACATTTAGCCCTGTCTCTCTCTCTCGGCCAATATACCCATCTCTTTCGTATAAGATATAGAACTTTGGAAATGGGAACAACAACAAATCTTTGAAGATTATCATCTTTTCTATCCAAAAAATCCTTTTTCCTTTTCAATTCCTTTTGCTTTTCGAAATTCTTTTCATTCAAAAGCTTTGATTGTTTTTTTTTAACAAGAAATAAAAAGCTTTGAGAAATAAAAAGAGATGGAGCTATTTGAAATGAAAGAGATGGCACACTGTCCACACTTCCTGTGGGTGGCTTTTATGGTTCTAGCTAATCGCTATCCTTGATTTTGAGATGCCTTTCCCTTGCTCTGCTCTGCTCAGCAAGCAGGCGAGCATATTTAATAAATTTCATAAATATCATAAAAACATATAGACGCACACAAACAAATAAACAAAAAAAAATTATCTGGCATCGTGTTGAAAAAAATGTGAAATGAAAAATGAAATGTTTCGCACGGAAAAACCATGAAAGCATGCCAATAAAATCATGTGTTGAACGTACACCAAGACCGAGAGACTCTGGGTGATTTTGCTTTTGGGATCTGTGAGATCTTCGAGATCTTTGAGATCTGCTATCTTTTGCGATCTTGTGTGAATCTGCGCCAGTGTGTGTGTGCATTGGAAAAGAGTTTTCGAAGCGAAATTAACAATTTGCTATTTTTGTAGTTATGCGGGGGCGTCTCTTTTTTTTTCTTTTTGCCCCCTCAACCTCCGCCCGCGAAGACTGAACACAGAAGGCCCAGGATCATCAAGAGGAAGAGACGGGTTTGGGGCAAAGACTTCGGGGGGGGGCTGCTGGTGCCGCTGTCTGAACCGCGGAGACTCGTTGACAGACGGAAGACGCAGAGACTCTGGGGCCTGACGTGGGGGCCAGGCCAACAAGTTGTTGTGGTCGCTCGGCATACACAGGGTGCTCCCATCTACCCACTCTTTCTCCTCATTCTCCTCCTTCTCTTTCTGCAACTGCATTCTCCTAAAACAATACGCTAAAATGGGGCTCTAGACTCAGCTAGCTCTCTTTGGCACAGAGCAGCAGCTGAAACAAATTAGTAGCAGAAATTCATCTGGCGGGGGAGTAAGGAACCCAAGATACCCAGCACCACAGAGATCTTAAATCGTAATACTTTAATCGATATTAACTATATTTCTATGTGAACATTTTTTCGACATCAAAATTTAAAAAATTCACAACTGGGTTAAAAATGCATTAATTTTAAATCGGAAAGCGTTCGTATGTTCATTTTTAGCAGATTAATAAAACTGCATACTCCATTAAAAATTGAATTTTTGTCCGATTTTTTAAAATTTTAACGATGTAACCCCTTTCCTTTTTTTCCAAAAATGGAAAATTTGTGAAAAATATTTTTTTTTTCCGAATATGGCTAAAAAGATTCTCCTGTTAATGCTGATCAAGAATATATAAGGTTTATAGGGTCGGAAATGGCTCCTTCACTTAGTTTAAAGCTTCTGACTAAAGTTAGAATACGATTTTTTAATGGATATTAACTATATTTTTATGTGAACATTTTTTCGACAAATCAAAATTTAAAAAATTCATAACTGGGTTAAAAATGCATTAATTTTAAATCGGAAAGCGCGCGTATATTCATTTTTAGCAGATTAATAAAACTGCATACTCCATTAAAAATTGAATTCTTGTCAGATTTTTTAAAATTTTAACGATGTAACCCCTTTCCTTTTTTTCCAAAAATGGAAAATTTGTGAAAAATATTTTTTTTTCCGAAGATGGCTAGAAAGATTCTCCTGTTAATGCTGATCAAGAATATGTAAGGTTTATAGGGTCGGAAATGGCTCCTTCACTTAGTTTAAAGCTTCTGACTAAAGTTAGAATACCATTTTTTAATGGATATTAACTATATTTTTATTTGAACATTTTTTCGATAAATCGAAATGTAAAAAATTCATAATTAGGCTAAAAATGCATTAATTTTAAATCGGAAAGCGTTCGTATGTTCATTTTTAGCAGACTAATAAAACTGCATACTCCATTAAAAATTGAATTCTTGTCAGATTTTTTAAAATTTTAACGATGTAACCCCTTTTCTTTTTTTCCAAAAATGGAAAATTTGTGAAAAATATTTTTTTTCCGAAGATGGCTAGAAAGATTCTCCTGTTAATGCTGATCAAGAATATATAAGGTTTATAGGGTCGGAAATGGCTCCTTCACTTAGTTTAAAGCTTCTGACTAAAGTTACAATACCAATTTTTAATGGATATTAACTATATTTTTATGTGAACATTTTTTCGAGAAATCAAAATTTTAAAAACTCATCATTCCCTGTCGTATCTTTTCATCTATAGGGTACCGTAATTCGTACGCTTATGCTGGCCGAATTCATACTTTCTTCTGTGCCACCCACTCCCACTCAGACCCCCGCCTCGCCCCCCTCTTTCACCTCCTTTGCCGCCATCGCCACTCTCTCCGCCGTTCGGGATCTTTGGGGCTTTCGTGTTGTCTTCGTGTCTATTTTTCTTTTTTTTGTTTTTTTTTTCGGCTCTTCGGCTAAAGATCCGAACCGAAACGATCCGATCCGATGCTCCCGCTGCATGGCAGACTTTTCCTCCTCCTCCGCCTCTGCTGCTGCTGCTGCTGCGGCTGTGTGAGTTGGCCAAGAGATGCTCGTCGATGGGTGGTGGGGTGGTGTGGGGCTTGGCTGCTGCTGCTGCTGCTGCGGCAACTGCTGCGCCAGCGACGGCAGCGGCTGCGGCGGTACATTCAGAGTTGGCAGCTGGCTGGCTGGCGCGACATCAGTTTTGAGTTGGCTTTCAACGCGAGCGGGTCTTTTCTCTTCGCAAGCGACACACGTAGATATTGCTCCAAATTTTGTTGTCCACACACAGAAAAAAAAAGAAAAGAATAAGAATTGTTTTGTTGTTTTTGTTTTTGTTTGGTTCCAAATACACACACACACAGAGAGACGGATATAGATACGTATATACACATATATCGAAAAAAAAAAATAATTTAAAACTCAATTGCTTTCGTTATACTCTATAAAATATTTATTTTTTTTTTTAGTTTTTTTTTCAAAAATAAAATAAATATATTCAAACGCTGTGCATGTGTGTGTGTGTGTGTGTGCACTGTGGTGGTGTGTGGGTGTGTGTGCGTGTGTTGGTTATGTATAACCACATATCTATCTATATATATCCGAACAATATATGTGAATATATATAAAAATATATATATATCGAAGAAGAACCCAACAAATGTGATACCAATAACGATAACGATAAAAGCAGAAAAAGTAAAAAACGCGAGTATATCGAT